AGCAGCTGCACATCCCCAGATTTCGGCAGGAGACGAATAATACCAAAAGACTGTGACCCACTAATAACACCATGCCTCAGGCTATACCGCACCACCTCTGAGAAGTCCGACCCAATCACCCCCCATAAACACTTATAGAATTCCGCCGGCAACCCATCAGACCCAGGATCCTTCCCATTCGCTAACCCCCGAACCACCTCCCAAATCTCCCTATCCGTAAACTCTCAGTAATGGCACATTGTCCTCAACAGGCAACACATCCTGGCAAAAACTAAGAAAATGCTCACAATCCGTCGATATGCATTCTACCTTCCTATACAAACCCTCCAACTCTTCCCGAACGTAACACACCAACCCATCAGTATTAGTGAGGACCGTTCCATCTACCCTGCGAATACCAGTCATAACGATAGAGTACCTAGGGGACTTAACCTTACCAATTTCAAGTTTCAACCAATAGCTCATCCTGAGTGTACCATTTTTGACGGTAGATACAGTACTTTCATTTTATCAATTCAATGAAGAGGAACATACAGGAAGTAGCCTCATCAGAAAGCCAAACATTTCCACATATCTTCATCTTAGGTGAAGTTAAGTGAAACTACAACAACATGTTGGTGTTTCAACTTGTGTGACTACTTATGCTCTTTTGTGAGTTTATTACATTTAATTCATTAACAACTCACTTTTAGGATGTTTAATAGAGCCCTACGATATTCGTAATGCATGTATAACTTGCAGCTAGATGCTATGCGGTCACTGTCTTGTTTCAATAATATTGTACATGCACTGGGGGGTCGTTTGAGAGAATAATAGCTAATGACTTCTCAGCTAATTACTTCTCTTATTGTTACAGTCCTTTGTCCTTTATTGGACAAAATATAGTTAAGATGTTGAATACAGTACCATGCACACTGAACTGTATTGCTGAGTAAAGTTGTATACAAAAATCATGACCCTAAATCCAACATGATACCTAAATACTCCTTTTTTTTTTTAAGTGATTTTATTTGCTTGTGGGTTTTTGACTGTTCAGTGCATACTTACTAGTGTTTGCCTATCACTAGCCATGGGGGGGGGGGCTTTCTCATTCTGTAATACTGTATTCAAACACATCGCTTGTTTGTTAAAAACTGCTGCATAGACTCGGCACATGGTAGCATCTGCCAGTGACCAAAGCAAAGATAGCCCCTCATAGTAGCATCAAAACAGCCAGAATATCTTAACCTCCACATACTCATTTTGCATCTATTTCTATAATTTTGTTGACATGATACAGTACTGTATGTTGTTTTGTTCAATGTGACATATGTAAAAGTTTGATTTATTTATGCTCTGTATGTGTGTGTAGTGTGTGGAAGTGAGTGTAATTACTTCAGTGTAGTTACATGATGAGAACTATGCTCATGATGTCATGTCTTCCCAGTACTCCTTGTCATATGACACTTCAAAATTACTGATGGTTTTGGCAGTCACCATTTTGGTATCCAACTGGAACTTTAGGCCTTCCCTGGGGTACCGCCTTGGCTTGAAGGTGTTCCACATCCTCCTCCTATACACAATCAACCTTGCACCAAAGATATCCTGACCAGCAACAGTGAAATAATTGACATCCAGCGACAATAGGAGATTGGACATAGCAGAATCACTGGATACCAAGGACTTGTGCAATTATCAACAACCAGCATATGAACCTTTCTTAGGAACCAAGCTTAGACTAAAAGTGAGCTTAAGACAGCTTGTGAGAGAACGAGCAATTTAGGCAGTCTCTGAAGCCCCAGCCGCAGACAACATGGAAGCAAACAACCACTCTCCCCCCCCCCCACCCTCCCAGTGCTGAGGTGGAGGGGGAGGGGGTTGCTAACACGTCTAACACACATCCAAGTCATCTTAGAACTGACTGGAGAACAGCTGAAAGACAGCCCAGAAGCACAAAATAGTGGAAAGCTGGAGCGAGGCTTGTAATCCTCCATAACATGGGCCACAGAAAGCAAAGCCCAACATACATGAATTTGCCAGAAGCACACCTCCCAGGACTGGGCTGGTGCAAACAGGCACGCCTTAAAAGAAAAGGAAGTACTGCTCAAGAACACTTGAAAAACAGACTCAACCACATGTCATTTGAGTAGTTGTGTACTGCAAAAACCACATCAAGCCCCCAGGGAAGGAAAAGCCAGCAGAGCCTCAAACCATATCCAGTAATAGAAAAGGTACCCAAACTCAAAAAGGCAGGGGTCCAAAGAGGAGAGGTTCTAATCCTAAAGGGGGAACTAAAACAAATTCCTCTTCTCCTCAGAGGGTGAAATATGGAAAATTGAAAACCCCTGTATATACGATGCATCCCAGGCCATGGACGGCACCTGGGATGCATCGTAGTGGCACCTCGACTTACGATTGCCCCTACTTATGATAATTTCGAGTTACGATGTAAAGTTCATCGAAAAATGCGACTCGACATCCAATGGTGTCGTCGACATACGATATTTGTTGGTACACGTTCGGATCGACCAAGCGCGTGGTTCCCGGTCATGCGGCCGACCTGCCTCAGTTTACTACAGCTGCCCGCTTAGTGACGATCGCGCCTATAAGAAATTTCGCTTTTGTGGTGATTTTTTGCATTTTGAACATTAAAGTAATTATTATATCACACCATGAGTCCCAGGAAAGTCAGTGGTAAGGCTCAACATATGAGATCCCATGTAAGGATGACCATAGAGCAGAAACAAGAGTATCATTCGTAAATATGAAGATGGTGTGCGGGTTGTTGGAATGGCTACGCAGTACAACATATCTCAATCAACGATATCCACCATATTGGCTAAGAAAAAGGACATTATGGGTGCTAAAGTGATGCATCATTACAGACAAATGTTAAAACGAAGGGAAAAACAAATGTCTCTTGACAAATTTGTAGTGAGACAAACAAGCACTGAACCACAACCAGGTCCTAGTGGTATTCAGGCAAAACGTAGGAGAGAGAGCACCCCAGAGAAAACATCACTGCCTGATGTGATAATGGAAGGGGACTTCCCTTCCAAATGGTAACAACTTCCCTCCTCCCCCTCATCACCATCTTCCATATGCCATCAAGAGCCCTCCAAAAAGGTAAGATAAATGTAGGTACTGTATTGTACAGTAGTTAGAAAAAAACATTGTATTCAGTATAAAATGTATTTGTATGTTAATATTTTGGAGGGTGGGGAACAGATTAATTCAAATCCCTTTATTTCTTATGGGAAAAATCGCTTCGACTTACGATATTTCGACTTACTATCCGTCTCTGGGAACGGATTAGCATCGTAAGTCGAGGCCCCATTGTATATACACGGTAAGTTGGCACTCTCAAGTCTCGGGAACAGACTCTTGATCCTACCAGGGAAGGTAACCCTGTCAGGACAGAAAAGTCTGCCCTAAACATCTGTAGGTCAAGACAAGCATTTGAACAAAGTCCACTTAAAAAGTGAAGCAAGTAGGCACACACACATGTGAAGCAGTAACACCAAAAAGTAAAACTTTTTTTTTTAAGTTTTAAAGTTAAAGAACACAAGGAAATGTTCCCAGCAGGACAAAGTCCAAAGGATGACCAGCACATATTAGAAAACCATGACCCATAGGGCAAGGCAACAGATAAAACACTTCACTCTGTAGCACCAAGAAAATGACTAGAGTGGATCACCCCTAAACCATCAGTGCCCAGTACTGCCACCTGGTGATTGGGACATTGAATTAGTGATAGAACTAGCTACTGGTGGAGATTTTGTTTTCTGATTTATTTACTTTTTGCCTTGCCTTGTGTGTTTTTGTCTACCTCATCTTTCTGGTGGCTATCTTGTTGGTTAGAGTGATTTAGTATCCTCTTCCCTCTGCCTCTGTGAGGTGACCAGGTTTTAGCTTCTGGTCTCCAATAGGCTATTAATGACTTGCATGGGCTTATATGCAACTTGATGGGTGTGGAGCTGTCCAAAACAAGAACCTTGGACTCACTAGAAAGAGGCATTTCATTACACTCAATGCTGGGTGTTTTGGTTGCTTACACTTGTCTACCTGTTCATTACTGTGTAACGTAATGTTTACTTGTACGTATTTGGTTGATTAGACACAAAGAATTTAGTGTTTTTTATATTTAGTATAGTCTTGGTTACAGCACTTGGTTTGTTGGCAGTGTAGTGAAGTGTTGTTGTAGTTGAGACGAAGTCTGGAGCAGGACAGAGAGCTGAGTGAGGCTGGGAATAGAGAGCAGCTCGGATGCAGGGTGAGTGTGTAGAGCGTGGCACTCTGAATGCCGGCGGAGTTGAGGGGCTGAGTGCAAGACGAGAGCGCGGAAGCTTAATGCGGCCGAAGTCTGGCTGTCTGCTCTGTGTCGAGGCTGAAGCGTCTTGTGAGGGTAGAAACTGAACACATCGAGTGTTACATTGTTGTTTGTGAATGTTGAAGATGTGGTATCTCTCAAGTGTCTGTACTGAACCACTCTTGGAGTTTGACTGATGATGATTTGCTGTTGAATGGTTATACAGTATTACCAGTCCACACCTCAGCTCACCATCCTCAAGCATGTTGGAAAGAAGTATTAACTATAATTAGTTATACACTTGGGAAGAGGTATTAATTGTAACTAGTGAACCTAGAAGAATTAACAGACCCATCTCATTATCTGCACACAAGCTAATGAGAATATGGAGCAAGTATATTCCTGACATAATATACTTGCTACAACTGTAGAGCCAGAATTGTAACAAAAAAATATCTAAGTTGTTACAAATAAAGCCTCAGATTCTAATTAGTATATGACTTGCATTTATAATGCAGTCACTTACATGGTGATTACATTAACTGTATAAGTACAGTGTAGTATATTATTCAGACAAGTAATTATTCTTGTATCTCATACAAGTAACTTTTCATGTGTAGGTAGCTTAAATATCAAGTAGGCTACAGTTTATAATAAGCAGTACTGTACAAACCTTGTGTTCTTATTGTATTTAATTTTTTTTTTCCACCAGTGTCTATGGCCAAGAAAAGATAAATAAATTTACATGGATTGCATAAAAATCAAGAGAAGATTACTGTGAAGATGAAGGTTACTGTGTGGAGTGTGGTGAGCGGCGCAATATCTGGTCACCTTGTAGTAAATATACCCGCAGCTTGCACTGTCCGCAAAGTGCTTGATACCTATTGCAGTTACAAGGTGAGCATCTTTTGCATAATGTCAAATTAAATATGTATGCCTATGGGTGCAGAGTGCGGGTATGTCCGAAATGTATGCCAGCATTTTGAATAATTGTTTTCTTATATTCTTTCTTGTAATATTTATTTCTGTAAGTATTTTTTAAGGAATGTCCAGAAGTTGCTCTACCTAGCTAAAATATTTGCTTTTACCCTGTTTTATTCTCCATATCCTGTCATGGCACTCTTCCATTACTTAATCCACTTTTTACCTGGGCTTTTCATACTTGGATGTGCATTTGCTCACTATCTATTGTGTGATCCTTGAGCTTTTACCGATGGTGCATACAGCTATCTTTGCTGGTTTGGTGATGCTCAGATCTCTTGCATAATAAGTGTTGTGTAGTTTGGCTGAGCACCTATCTTCTAACAATTATGTTTATAGTTAAGGTAAAATTGGTCTTTGATAATAGGAACAGGAGGGAAAGAAAAGGAGAGGAGTAAGTTAGGCCTGTCAATAAGTTAGACCTGGCAATGAATAAAGAATTACATGGAACAATGAATAACATTTGTGTAAAAATCAAGTTTGAAACAACAAAAGTGCCAATTCTCATTGCATATATTCAGTGTATCTCTAGTGCAAGAGAGACAGAGTTCTGCATACCCAAGGTTTGGAGTTGACCCATGTGGTAATAAAGTATGACTTTATGCAAATCCAGTAAGGTAATCAAGCCCTCCAGAAAGCTAAGAGACCAAATCATTTGGGGTAGTAATTACAGGAATGGAAAATAATGCTTGTGAGGACAGTGTTGACACTTGTCAATCTCTAAGCAGAGTGAATGGGAAGATCTCAGAGAGTGAAAGGAAACCTGATCTTTTATTGACATCATCTTGAAACGTAGGTACATGTATGTGGTCAGGGTGCCAAGTATGAATAGACCAATTGTAGGTACTGACTTATCAACCTGGGAGTGGCCTAACCATCAGCCTCCTGTCCCACAGCAAGCAAGTCTAAACTTTCTTGATAAAGGTTTCAAATATTTCCAGCTCAAGACAAGAGATGTGTAACTATTGCACAGTCCAGGGACCCTAAGCAACATATTCCTTACATAATTGAAGTTGGTGAATCCTGATTCAATCCAGAATCACCAATCAATCATTTACCCCACTGTCCTGTGCTAAATTGAGACAAATAAAAACATGAACACAGTGTCTCCATCTCAACATCTTTCCTTACCAAAATGCAATTTCCTCAACTGAAGAAACTCCTGACACCAGCTTATGTGGTACATAAGTGCCTACAAGAGAATAATTCTATGATATGAAGATTAAGTGATAATGCCTGCTTTGCAATCTTGATGTAACTAATGTATCGTTCATATCCAGAGCATCAGTTGCTTCCATGACTCGTTTGTGTGGCCAATGTGTAGCTGACAATTTCTGCTGCTGTGTGTGTAAGAATCTTGAGTGACTTAGGGCCCATTTAGAATAGGTTAGCAGTTTGCCAAGAAATTGCCTGTTTATGAGTTTGTATCTTGGTTTAGGTTTTTGTTACCTTTAACTTCAGCAAAAACTACTGTACGAGATTATCCTTTGTTAGATGCACTGATTTGGAGACTTCGGATAATGCAACTCGTGCTAAATTTTTGAATAAGTCTTTGGGTCATCCTTTTGAGCAAATGTCTGTTTGACCCATTTTGACTCCTACTTTCTTTTTGACTCCTCAGGCTCTGCTGTTTGTCACAGCTTCCAAAAATCCTAGGTTAGGGACTTCTATTCCTTGGGGTTTGGTTGCTGTGCCCCCCCCCCCCACCTTCCCCTTTGCCCTCTCATTGCTGTGGAGTTGGCCGAGTCTTTTGTGTCCGTGTATTTCTCATTGTTTCTACGGGTTCCTCTAGGGCCTAGTTCAAGGTAGTTCTGGTGCTTCATTGGTGATCTTGTCTGATTTGGGCTCAGAACCTTATCTCTCTTCCCAAATGTTGGAAATGAGTAAAAAAATAAGTTTACCTATTGAATTATCTTGGGTGCCTGTTGACCCATCTTGGGCTCTTGGCCCCAGGCATGATGGTCCATATTCCTGTGAGAGATTCTTAATTATTTAAATCATATACAAGTGTCTGGAAAAAAGAAAACTTTAGTACTGTATATTTTTTCAGTTCTATTATTTCCTTAGTTTGAATCTATGACCTCTTGTTCTTAATGGTGCATGTTTAAAAAATGCCATCTTGTCAATTTTGTTGATTCTTATCATTATTATTTTCTGTCATGATCATTTCACCTGTTTTTTTTGTATCTTCCAGTTTTGGCATACTGTATGTAATGCTACTAGACTGTCCTCTGCTCATACTATTTTGGCGAGATTTTGGTCATGAGCATGTGGGAGATGGGTTCATATTCATTACAATACATAGTGTGCCAGTCTGTTCCATCTACTCAGAAGGTGGTGGGTCATGATGAGCTAGTCTGTATGTCTGATTACTTTGATTTACACGATTGCAATCGGTCATAGGTGCATCTGTCTGGATGATGGTGAGCTAATATGAGAAAAATAGTGTTCCAGATACCTTCAAAGATCAAATTTTCAACTCTCAATAAACAACCATGTAAATATTATTAAAAATTATTTCCACCCCTTTCCAACTACAAATATAGCACATAATTAAATACAGAATGCTTTGGATTTGCCAAGATGCAAAATGTATTCCAAAAAGTGCAAAAAAACACGGGATAATTGCAGGGAGTCATGGGATCAGAGTGTGGCATAAGGCATTTCTCAACAAAGCAACTCCGTTATCCAAATATTATGCACTATACCTGCAAATAATGCCTCATGCAATTCAATTTTTTTTAACTAATGCCTACACCATGTAGCCCTGACTCTCAGTTGATCAAATTCTCTCAAATTGAGAGTTGAAAAATGTACCGTACTTTACAGTATGTTTATCTTAATTTTCATTACATGAAATTGTATATTCTAAATGTTAGAGTCTGTACCTAGATGGCACTGTGAAGATAATGTCTGTTGGGATTCTCATGTTAGATACTGATATATATATACATGGAATATGCATTCCCAGGGTGTTCCTGCAGATAATAGGTATGTCATTCGAAGCCGAGACAACCTGGTCTTGAATCCCAATAAGACCCTCAAGCAAGCTAACATTCAAGATGGAGAAACACTCACAATTGGTCTTCCAGGTAAGTAATTAAATTTTTTTTAACATTAAACCATATAGTGGACACATTTTCCACAGTTTTTCATATTAATAGTAGAAAAAATTAAATAAACATAAAATAAATTCAATAAAAAAAATTAATCAATATTTTGTTAAATAAATAAAGTTATTAAATAAAATAATTCAATAATTATATAAATTATTAAATTTATTCAATAAAAATTACTGTAATTTACAGTACAGTATATGGTTTAATTACTTTACAGTATATAATGCATTGTCATTTCTCATGCCAGAGTAAAAAGAATGAAATTCATAAATTCATCATTTGCTTGTTACGTGAGACCTTTAGGATATAGCAGCTCTTTATTATATAGTTGCTCTTACATAGAAATTTAGGAAAGCCAACAATGCAATCTAAAGCATTTTTTTGTTGGTCTTCATGATTTTTATAGTAAAATTGAGACCCAAACCTAGTATGTACTAGTACTGTATGTATACGTGCACACTTGCATACATACACGTGAGGCCTTAGGAGAAGACCTCACAACAAAGGAAAATGTCAGTGATTTTAGGATGATAAGTAGGTATGAAAAGGATAAGAATTGCCTCTGAAGGGTGACATTTCATGGAGTGAAACAAATCATAGGAGTGTTTAGGAATACCAGGAAATTGCTAAATGATAAAGATGGAAAACTGTGGTCATAAAGTTAAGATCTTTCAAAGGATGACAGAAAAAAGCTAAAACTGAATCTTGAGGAAGCAATACATATAATCGAGAGTAAGAACAAAGAAATAATGTGTGTCTACAAGGTGAAAGGAATCTAGAAGCCTGTGAAATGGTACACAAAAGCAAACCAAGAAAATTGTTAGAGGAGAGGAGAGTGAAGGGCAAATGAGGAGGGAACATGTGCATACATGTACTAACATAAATGAAAATTAAAAAAATGTGCAAAATAAATGAGGTGAGGTAAAAAATACTGGAGTTAAATGATATAATGCAGCTTAAGATTCCTTGGTATTATCACACTAGCAGAGACGAAATGAAGATGAAATTTTTGTGAGGCGGTACTGCATTAGGGGAGCCGGTCGGCCGAGCAGACAGCACGCGGGACTTGTGATCCTGTGGTCCTGGGTTCGATCCCAGGCGCCGGCGAAAAACAAAGGGCAGAGTTTCTTTCACCCTATGCCCTTGTTACCTAGCAGTAAAATAGGTACCTGGGTGTTAGTCAGCTGTCACGGGCTGCTTCCTGGGGGTGGAGGCCTGGTCGAGGACCGGGCCGCGGGGACATTAAAAAGCCCTGAAATCATCTCAAGATAACCTCAAGATATATAACCTCCCATTTACTGAATTTTGAATTAGTCTGTGGTCAGTATATATTTATACAGTGTACATAGTGGTGTAGTCATATTGTGCCTATTCATTGAAAGATTCAATAAAGGTGGTTTTGGTTGACAGGGAAAATTACTAGGAGCCACCTTGCCTCTTCAATTCTTTCTCCCTCCCATTCTCTCTCCTTCTCATTCTCTCTCCTTCCCTCCTTTTCTCCCATTTCTCTCTCTCTTTCATTCAGAACATGCAATATATACACCCAGCAAACTCACAATATTATTTGTACTATTTTACTATTTGATGCAATATTGTAGTTATGTTGTGGGTATGATGAACATCAAAAAATCTTGTTGAAAACTATCTAGGAAAACCAAACCTTAATTTCAGACTTCGTAATAGTCATTGGTTGTCATAGTAGGAGCCAGTCCTACTTATACAGGAACATGGAGGTTGACCCCCAACCCCACTACTACACTCCTGATACAATCACAAATCACTATGGAAAGTTGTGTGAGGCTAACCACAAGCATCTGTCCTCCAATCTTGGACAGACAGACACTCTTTTATAGATGTACAGTAGATAGTCTCTAGTTGGTGACTATCCTAGTGGTTACCACAGTCAGTCCACAACCAATTGGTTCTGGTTTTGATTACCAATTATTGTGCTATCTTGAGGTTATCTTAGCTGATTTCGGGGCTTTTTAGTGTCCCCGCGGCCCGGTCCTCGACCAGGCCTCCACCCCCAGGAAGCAGCCTGTGACAGCTGACTAACACCCAGGTACCTATTTTACTGCTAGGTAACAGGGGCATAGGGAGAAAGAAACTCTGCCCATTGTTTCTCGCCGGCGTCTGGGATCGAACCCAGGACCACAGGATCACAAGTCCAGTGTGCAGTCCGCTCGGCCGACCGGCTCCCTTATTTGGGCATATTTCATTACCCCTGATGCCATTGTTTACCTAGTAGTAAATAGGCACCTGGGTCACATCCTGGGGAATAGTCATTGTTTAGTGGGCACCTCAATTAGTCTTTACAAGTTTGTTGGTGTCCCGAACAATGGAAAATCAAATGCTTAAAGGTTCTACATGTAAACATTCCATAGCTTTTTATTATTACAGTATTTTAATACAATATGTACATTTTAATACGTATTTTAATAGAATGTTAAAGGGTCATGCTAGAAATGCTTTTCAGCTGTACGGTATCGCTACTTCAATGAGTAACCCTTTTAGGTGTCTCTTAACTTATTCAGTTATTAAAATTTTTGTTATCTCTAAATTAAGAAAAAACTTGACAGTAATTTTCCTATTTACAGAGGATGAGGCGCAAATATTTTCATTTGGTAGTTGGTGGATGGTGATGTTGGCAGCCTTTATCATTGGAATTGCAGGACTTGTGATTACATTTTGGTTGTTTTTGGAGCCTGTCACTGGAATTAAGAAGGTCAGTTGATCAAAATAGAGTAATAGACAAAGAGGGCATTGATGACCAAACTACAACTCAGAAGATGGAGAAGCGATGACATTTCAATCCATCCTGGACCATTATCATGTTTTGTGATGGAAGAGAAGAAGGTACCTTCCGCTCTTCTATCACACGACTTGATTATGGTCCAGGATGAATTGAAACGTCGTCGCTTTTCCATCTTCTGAGTTGTGGTTTGGTCATCATTTCTACAGACACGTTAATGTGGCTCATCATCTAAAAAAGTGAATTTATGCAGTTAATTTAATGTTATTCAATCTTACAATTTCATCATCATAATTTATCTTGCTTATTTGCTGAGTTGGCCCTCAGTAGCTCTCAGCTGCTTTGAATCTGGTACCATTGAGGCATCCACGAAACTACCAGACCTCAGGACATGTATTCACCTAGTTGCGGGTGGGAGGTTGAGGTCTGCTCTTTCGGCCCGCCTCTCAACTGTCAATCAACTGTTACTAACTACTATTTCCCCCTCCCCCCCCACACCACACATACACACCTCTCCTCCACAGGAAGCAGCCCTTGACAGCTGACTAACTCCCAGGTACCTATTTACTACTAGGTAACAAGGGCATCAGGGTGAAAGAAATTCTGCCCATTGTTTCTCGCTGGCGGCAGGAATCGAGCCCGCGATCACAGGATCACGCGTCCAGTGTGCTATCCAGTCAGCCACCGGCCCCATGAAAGCCTATGTGTAAGCCTATTGAACACCAGGACCAGATTCTGGAGCAGGCGATGAGTCACAATAACGTGGCTGAAGAATTGAAATACAATCGACTTGAATTCTCAAGCCGATTGTGACAATCGACTTGAGAATGGTTCAGGACGGACCGAAACGTCGTCGTCCTTTCACCTTCTAGTGTGTGGTCTGGGCAACACCAGATTCTGGTGTTCTCATAAATGAGGGAAGCATGGGGGATCTAAGATCAATCACAAAAATGAGTAAAACTGTCCAGGAAGTACATGCAGTGCAAAATAAACAATGTATTTTGATTAAGGATGAAAATGAAGGAAGTGGTAATCTGTCTAGGGCATTACCACTTATGAGAAAAAATTATTTGGTACCTGAACATATCGGCACTCGAACAGCCTTCTGGAACCGATTAAGTTTGTGTACCAAGGTTCCACTGTATTCTGACTTTCCTGTTTTTTGTTTCTGTAGATTTGTAAATACAGTACACTGTACTCAAAAGTCCTCGAACAACATCCTATTTCAGTCTCCTTCTTGGTTATTAATTTTTACATTTTCCACTATTTGTTTTCACAATTAAAACACAATGCATTACATTTTGTTCAGTTTGGTATAGTAGTGGATGCAGGGTCATCTCATAGTGAAGTGTACGTCTTCAGGTGGAATGGCCAGATGCCTCTTGGAACGGCTGATGTGGAACTTCTTCATCGTTGCTTTATTTCAGGTATTTTATTTCCTATTTTACACTTGAAATAGTGATGTGAAATATATAAAAAACTACAAATTTGCACAATATTGTTTGAACAATAAAGACTTTTTATTTACAGTACAGTATAACATTTGCTAGGAATTAATTTTTATTTGTTCCTTTAATAATGTCCAAACAATTAGTTTTTTATGTCAAGCACTCACACAGTAATTCATGACAATAGATTCCTGGGTCAGCTGTAAACACGTTCCTTAAGAAATAAAGCCAGGCATAACTTTAACCAGTCCAACTGCACCAGCCTGTAAAACATTAGTATGCCAATGTAGTCTTTTAGCACCTCTTCCTGCACAATTTAATGTATTTTTCAATTAGTTGAATTAGCTTACCTATATTTAAACTCCTTTTACTTATGATTAAATATATATATTTTAAACCGAATTTAAATTTAAATCCATACCTAGTAAAATTCCTCAATAGCTCCTATCGAGTCTAAGGCTCGTGCCATAATGCCGTGACCGTCATCAACTTACCAGTGCCAGAACCAAAATCTGGCTCTCTTGACAAAGTGAAGAAAGCTTTAGGATTAGAAATTTACCCAAAACTAAGGAAACCAGCCATAAATGCTAGGCAAAACAAAACAAGCTTCTGCTTGAAACATAAGAATGAAAGTTGAGAAAAGCAAGATAAATGGCAAATGATAGTTTGCTGTGATAAACCAATTATTTCTCCAGTGAGCCCAGATAGTGGCAAAGGATGCCATGGATCCAGGCCCAATGTCCACCTTACTCACTTGCCTGGAACTGCATGGCTCTGAGATATATATCCGGCAGCACAAAATCTTGTAACCATTCAAACTCTGCCTTTGGTAATGTTGAAAAGGGGTCATTGAAATGCATCTCTTAGTATCAAGCATTAATAACATTGTAAAATGAACTTTGGGGAGTTAATTTTTTAACTTCCTTCTCAAATGAAGAAAAGATAAGAAAAATAGAGAAGATTTGTGCTAAAATCATTGATTTCACCATTTGTCATATTTAATAATATATGTTCACATGAAAGACTGCTACCAAAATCAATAAATTACATTATACAGTATATTGTTGTACCTAATAGCCAGAACACACTACTTAGCCTAGTATGCAAGACTCGATTTGCCCAACAGACAGTGATTCTCATAGTTTCAAATACAGTATATCCTTTTCAAATTGCTTTGTTTGAATTGTTTGAAGCTATATTAACACTTTCGCGCTCTCGGCGCTCAAAAAAAAACAATACCCCAGATGCTTTCGGCACTTCGCGCGCCTACGCGGTAAGACCGAAAAAGTGTACACTCTTTTGACTGTCCTGACAATAAGTGAAGGCGCACGTATTTAAATTTGGTATCACTGTGTTCGCAATGAAATTGTCTATAAGAGCATACCTGTAAAATGCCGCCCAAGCATAAGGAGTATCAACACCAAATAAAAAACTATGCAGATCACTCGCCGAGAGCGCCAAACAGCAACAAAATGTTTCCACTTTCTTAATGGTTGCGAAGCCTACAGTTGTCTTACATCGCTAATTTTGGTATCATTGGAATCGTAATAAAATTCTCTACACGGACATATGCATATGAATGTTTAATATAGGTAATTGCCCACCCGCAAGAGTGTGTGAAGTGGAGAGTAGTTAGCCGCGAGCGCACTGGCGAAAACACGGGGGAAATCATGCTTGGAAAGTTTATACGTTTCCTGACCCTACTTTTCTATGTACGTATTTCTTTTTTATACCAATGTGTTCGCAATAAAATTTTCTATAAGATGAACTGTATAACATTGGTACAAAGCATGTGTAAGAGAAGCGCCAAATATAGAACCACGTCGCTCAGTATGCGTTCGCGGCAGAAACGAACGCATTGTTTTCGTTCGTTTGATGTTTGTTATGTTTATACTTGTTGAAACATTTTATAATTTGTATGACAGTGATCGCAGTAAAATTCCCTACACAGACATATACATAACACATACAAATATTTCCCACGTGTTGGATATATCAACGGCTAAAGGGAACCCACTGCCACACGCTCGCCACACCCCCAAACATACTTTGTGTATTTTTTTTTTTACTCATAGAAGTTTATGTGATATAATATTCATTCTGGTACCAAAAAATTCGCAAATAAATTCTCTACAAAACAAAAGTATCCCCATCCATTTCGGTTAAAAAATGGAATTTATAGAAATATTTTTTCGATTGACGAGAAAAGTAGGCAGTTATGAGGAATCATAAGAAAAACCAGTGACGAGTTATCTCTAATATAAAGCGCGAAAGTGTTAATGTACTTTGCATTTGGATTACTGTATCCAAGCATAGAAAACCTTGTCTTCAGAAAAACATAGCTGCTTTAGAGAAAGTGCAACACAGGGCAACAAAAATCATTCCAGAGCTAAGTCCACTTGCATATCAGGAACGGTTGAGGGCCACAGGGCTAACAACACTACAAAGCAGGCATGATAGGGTGGATCTTGTTGAAATTTTTAAATACTGATTAATTTGGAGGATGTTGATGTGGAGAATTTCTTCAAAAGGTCAGATATAACAAACTTGGAGCAACGGTTTCAAGCTCAACAACCCACAGTGTAGGACTGTGAACAGGAGATGCTTTTTCACCCATAGATTTATAAACCCATGGAACCACCTACTCGCCAGAGCCGTAAATGCCAAAACTGTTAAATTTTAAATTACGATTGGAAAAGATCATAAGGCAAATGAGGGGACCTTCAACAAGCCGCCGGCTTCCTGTCCTCGTCGAGGCCAATAGTGTTTGTGGCCCTCAGGTAAATTCAAGTAATAAATAAATACATATACAGTACAAAATTTTTTCTCTTTATTAAATTATGATAAAGCCACTTTACAAGTACGGTACTGTACTGTAATTCTGTCAAACAAAATCCATGTTTAGCCGTGCCCAAGACTGTGTGTATGCCATGGGCTCACTTGCAGCTGTATCTACATCACATGTTTGAATGTTTATGGGAATACAATTTTGTATTTTGCTTGTACCTGTAATAAAATTAACATGGTATACATCAATTTATCATGAATGAGAGAGTTCATGTACAATAGTTATGTGAAGGTAATATTGATTTATTAGTGTACTCGCCTAGTTGTGCTTGCGGGGGTTGAGCTCTGGCTCTTTGGTCCCGCCTCTCAACTGTCGAGTATTTATATTTTATAGTACTGTTTATATATAAACAGTGTGTTTATATATACAGTACTGTAGAGTATGCTGTATTGCCTTGTATATATTTTAGCAAAATTGCAGGAGGAAATTGTATGCTAAGGAAGAATTTGAATGTGTTTTTTCAGGAGGTGTAAACAGTTTTGCAACTCATGCTGAAGATATTGGTAGATACTTTAAGTACTGCATTGCTGAAGCTGAAACTCGCGTGCCTAAAGCTCATCGGCCTCATACACCACTGTATGTCCAAGCTACGGCTGGCATGAGAATACTAAAGTTAGTTTTGTGAACTTTATTACATTTTTGCGCTCTTAAGGTAAAGTTGCTTATTGTCACCTGGTCGCAGGTTATCAGGTGTTGCTGCCCCAAAAAATCTTCCCTATACTGTACTGTAGTGTGTGCAACACCACATAAAACAAACTACAAAATGTCAGAAACTCTTTAAATATATTCCAACTTACTGTATTGAAACATGAAAGGTACCTAATAGAAACCTGTTAGAATAAATATTATAATGTTAATTTTCTCATTATTGTATTGTACATTGACAATTTTTTTTTAGAAAGTTTAAAAAAAAAAAACATGAAATTTAACGAATTGTATTTGATTTGATTTATTCTCTTTTGTTTACATGTTGAGGTATGGTTCTTAAACTGTTGGATAACAGGTGTTGACATCTAGTAGAGTGCATTATGGGTAATAAATGGTGTTCAGATACTAGTACAAACATTGGCTGTTTCTAGTGTCCAAATACCAAAACCAAGTACTGTACAGTGATATCTTGGTTTTCAAATTTAATCCATTTCCAGAGACGGGTCGTAACCCAAAAATTTACAACCCAAAAAAAATTTTCCCATGAGAAATAATGTAAATTGAATTAATCCGTTCCACACTCCCAAAAATATTAACTTCAAAATACATTTCATCTATAATACACACATATTTTGTACTATAGTATGTACAAGTTATAGCTTACCATTATTGATGACTCTTGATGGCGTATGGAAGACGAGGAGGAGGAGGAGAGGTGTTAGTGTTTGGAAGGGAAGTTCCCATCCATTATAGCATCAGGTAGTGATGACATTTCTGGGGTACTCTCTCTCCTACGTTTTGCAGGCATACCACTAGGACCTGGTTGTGGCTCACTGCTTGCTTGTCTTAAGAATATGTCTAAAGACACTTGGTTTTTCCTGCATTTTAACACTTGTCTCTAATGAGACATCACATTGTCATTGTAAAGATCAATGCAACGGCCTGCTACAGCTTTATCTGGGCGAGTTTTTTCAACAAAACTTTGGAGTTTTGTCCATGCTTCACACACATTTTCTTAATGATGAAGTAAAAGACATCCTTTACTCACAACTATTTTCTTAGGCTGAACCTTCTTACCACTGACCTTCTTGGGACCCATGGCATGATTATATAATAATTTAATGTTCAAAAACAAAAAAAGCAGAAAAACAATGAAATCCTTTACAAAGAATTCAAGTGCGATTGTCACTAAGCGGGAGACACTGGTAAACTGAAGCACGGTCGTCCGTGCCACCAGGAACTAAGCGCGTGGTCAACCCATACGTATATCAACATAGTCGCAAGGCGAGGGCAAAGTTCGTAACCAAATTCAAATTTTCTGAAGAAATTGAGTTCATAACCTAAAAAATTTGTAAGAGGGACGTTCACTACCCGAAGTTCCACCGTACAGGAATCTAAAAATTAATTGAAAATACCAACATATACAAAATCTCCATACCTCTTTGTATAATATTATCAGACCTTAACAGTAATTGGTTCCCACAGAATGAGTCAGTGAACATGTATCTCTGGTCTGTATATGCATGAAAGGGTTGGAAAAAAAGTCATACAACATAAAATGATGATAAATGTACTGACACTCTACTCCCATATTTAATAATATCATTAATTAATGCTCAGAAATTCATTCCTAAGAAATAAGTTTTCAAACACTGGGGTACCCTGTGCCAGTTTCTAGCACCCTTGGAGGCTAGTCTCTGGAGACCCAATGGGCAAAATGTTTGAAACAAGGTATGTTATGCTTGCGGTGTTGCCTAATAGCGTGAAAATGAAGGAAGGTATAATATGGAGAATTCTAGACATAATATAACACTGAGCTCCAGCATTTTGTGGTTACATATCTTAAGTGTTGCACGTACAGTCCCCAATTCAGTGTCATTTTATAAAACATTCTTTTTTAAATTTATATTGACAATTGTGTTACACAAAATGGTGTATCTAGAAACTCAGAACTTATATGCTACAGTACAATATTAATATACAGTAATTAATTGCCCTTAGAAATTCAGAATAGAAAGGTAGTGTTAGCTGAAAATTGGTTACTTAAGTGTTAATATTTGTGTTATGTAAAGTCTTGATAATTCACTTACATAACATGTAATTTATCTTATCATACAGAAAGCAAAACTGCTAAGATTTATAGAAATGTTTCAGTTTAATTTTAAGTGCAAATACCACTTTCTCCTTATATGCTAATGATATTAACACTGCACACACACAAACAGATCTGAACTACAAAAGTCAGTATTCTGATTATGTTGAATATTTTTGTCCAGAAAATTTGATCCGGAGGGAGCTCAAGCAATATTGTCAACGATACGAGAATTTTTTGATGCAAACACGAGCTTCCGAGTGGAAAATAATAGTGTGGAGATACTTCCAGGCACAGAAGAAGGCTTAAATGGCTGGATCATTGTCAATTATTTGAATAATCACTTGAAGCAGGTATTGTATAGAATTGTGAAGTTTTTATTCAGAAATCATGAATTTTTAACAAATGTGTGAGATTAAATCACATGTACTAAAATCTTGTGTGTATAGGCACACAATGGCTTATATATATATTATATACACACATTAAATATATACACACATATATATTTTGTGTGTAGAGGCACACACAATGGCTCTTTACTTACAAAATATTTACGTACTGTATATGTATTATAGCTATTTTAATGTAATGGTTTTGGTAAATATATTTTATATGCAGCCTGATAAAGCGAGTGCTGCTGTCCTGGATGTTGGTGGGGTATCCTTGCAACTGACAAGCGAACTAGCCCATTCCGGCAATTGGACAACCACAGAACTCAAACTTTTCAATCAATCTCACAAGTAAGTGTAAGGTGTACTCATGTTCTGAGGCAGCTGTCTTGTAGGATTTTCTCTATAAATTTTATAAAGAAAAGCTCTATTATCTTTACACATACAATACAAGAATTCTTCATCTTATGAACAGGATGTTTTCCCAAAAAGGTGTTTGTAAATCAGTTAGTTGTTCAGGACTTTGAGCCAGATTTCCAACAGATGCAATGCTATAAATGGGGATTGCAATTATACAACACAAAATCATCACATATAAAGTCAATTTCAGTGGTGCAGAACCTTTGAGGTTCTTTATAGCATCCGTCTTTTTTTTGTGTGTGCTTAACTAGAGGAAATCAGATGAGGGCGTCATTGGGTTCATGGACTTCTGGCGCCCAATTTTGCTGACTCATTATGTAGGAAAGAGGATCACGATGTTCAAATTTGATGGTTCATATGTTTGCTGTTTCACATTAGTTTACACAATGTGTGGAATAATTAAATTTATCCATAATTGACAAAAACCAGCCCATCCTCCTGATTAGATATTACTTAAAGTAACAATGTAGACTATTGTACATATATTGACATAATGGACAATGAAAGCAGAATTTGGTACTATTGAATGTGGATAAACCAGAAGAGGTTTTGTATTTATGTTGCTAATAAAACCTTACCTAACCATCTAATACACACTGAGGCCTAATATTCAGTAGTACATATATGTGCTATACTAAGTATAGGAATATTTAAGTTACCTTCTTGGCTAGCGTACGAACCCAGGCCTAAGCGCTCGCGAAGCGCCAGATGAGTGTTTTACCACTGCACCATTGGGACCGGAACTTTTTCAGGACTATAAAATGAATACTGTAGTACCAAATTCTGCTATATACTTGTCCATTACATCAGTATATGTAGGCTAGTCTACATAATTACAAAAATACTATATAAAGAGGAGGATGGGTCGACAAAAACAATGGCTAAATACCGAATACACAATATTCTTGTTAAATATTACCGTTATTTATCTTTTCTATTTTAGGGTCCACAGCCAGTCTTTTCTCTGTTATGGAATTGCACAAGCCCGACATCGGTATGATTTTCTTCTAATTAATAAAACTGGAATAAATGTTCAGCAAGCGGCAACCATTGATCCATGCATGGCGAAAGGTACTACCCATCAAGTGTTAGCATCAGACATGAGTGGACCTTGCACTCTTACAGATAATTCAAAACCACTCTTATCATCAATCACTAATGTAAATTATAAAAAACTGAAAACCATCTTCAAAAATTATAAAAGTGAGCAGAATGTTCCTCGCTCGGAAGAGGTTGCTGTAGTGACTGACAGTGAAGATACAAAGATGTCCAGTTCTTTTACAGTCAAAGGTTCTAGTAATGCTAGCATGTGTGAGGAGAAGACTAGTTGGTTGTTTGATCATCAGTTGTGCAAGAAGATTTTCACTTTTGGGGACTGCTTGAACGCTCAGTCGGTACCCCAATTCAACCACTCAATCATTGTAAGTATATTCCTTGTCAGTCCTAAGTAATTTGTGTTGAGACTTGACTGGCAGTGGACTAGTTTTATTAATTTATACTTAATATATTGATCTCTTTAATGTGACATCATGTGACCACCTGTGGACATCAGCTGATGCCGTTGTACAATATTATGTTTATGACACTGCATCATCATATGTTAAAAATGATCTTCAGGGCTTCTAATATTTAGAATTAAAACTGTCATATCACAACCCTGATCAAACTATGCATAAGATCTCTTGATGCTAGAACCACTGATACTGTTCATTATTCATACATGACATTGTAGACAATACACACACACAGCATCCTTGAGCCCAATGTGTGGTGTCAGCATGAGAGGTCCAAGTAGAATTTAATTGCAAGAGACAGATTATTTAGTATTATCTATTAAACCTTTCCTTCACTGGAAATTGTATTCTTTCAAAGGGGATCTATAATTAGGCATGAATTAAAAATGAATATACTATACTATATATAACATGTGCCAGGAATCTGTACAGTGAATTAGCAACTACATTATATATCATATACTATTAACACACTGCACTGTATTTAATTTGATATAATGGGTTTATTGTCAGCAAATAAAGAAATTGAAATGTGGAATTACTGAATTGTATCAAAATTTTATTGTATGTACAGGCATTCTCTGGTCTCTTTGATCATCTGATGCTGCTGCTCGATGTGGGAGCAAATATTACTTTGCATCAGTTTAAACAAAAGGTGTATAGTGTGTGTTCGCTGGAGGTAGAGGCACTTTATGCTGCTTACCCAGGTAAGTAGAAGAATTGTACTTTTTTAATTCACATTGAAAAACTTCAAGGTTTTATGTTACAATTTCTTCTAGTGTTTGTTCCCTCACCTAATAGCAGTTACATATTGAATGCATTGTTCTCATTTCCTTATATCGGACACAATACTCGTGCCTAACCCAAAATCTCTGCAACTCTCACAACAGAAAATCCATTTTCACAAAGTTCAGTAATTCTTAGGTCCAACTGTGAATAGCCAGAAAAAAGGATCTGTTTATCTCTGCATGGTACAGGTGGCTTTTGGTCTATTTTAAGGGATGGGAATCTTTTTTGCAGAGGATGAATTTTGCCTTGACTATGGTTGATTATCTTACTCTTTCCTCCAGTCCAGCTCCTTCCCAACTTGGCCAGATAGGAGATATTTACAGTTAAGGTCCTCTTCTTGTCTTACATGTGACTAGTTCAGTCTTCCTGGTTCATGGGCCTTCTGGCCCTTAGTTCCAATTCTCTCCCGTTCCCAAGTTTTCGCTTCCCAAACTGAATCAGCAGCTCTTCGTATGTAAATAGCTTGAGGTTCTTCACTGTCATGTATGGAGATTTGGCCCTTATTTATCATCACCTATGAAATATGGTGGGTTGCATGGGCGACCAGTTGGTGTTACATGTGTGGCTTTCTTCACAGTGGCAGTATAAGATGGGTAATTCAACTATTCCTTTATATTTGACATGTCTGTGTCAGTTCCCATTGTGATGTCTTTTCTTTCCTTGCTCATCTTAGATTTTTTGGTTGATGCCTAATATTGTTGCCTTATGGCATTTGGCCTTAGCAGTCTCTCTTGCTAGCTGACTGATGTTTAAGTTGCTTTGTCCCCCCCCCCCTTCCCCCCTTTTTCTTGGCCAGAAAACATTATTTCACTTCTGGGCAGCTAAATGAAAGTGACGATGATGAGTCCTGCTCCTTCCATGTCTGTGAGGGAGGCCAGATTCTGGCACTGGCCTTTGTAAACCACGTGACCTATGTTTGGTCACATAGGCCAAACAGGACTCATGTGACTTATGTGACCCAGTAGTGGGAAGCCACCTCAACAAGATATAGGGCACTGGTGGTTCCCTGAAGCTATCAGAAAGAGGCATTTATTTACTGGGATTTTATAATGCTGGGATTTTTATTCTTCCACCTGAAAATTCATTTTTCTTCACACATTGAAAAGTGCATCTCTCTTCGAATCACCTCAGAGCTCCAGTTAATTTTCTCTCTCCACACATTTTATATTTTAATTTGTCTATTTGTACAAAAATGTTGGAGAACTCTTATACTGTATAACAAATATGAATACAGCATTTCAAAAGAAAAATATCCAAAATAAGAGGTACATTTCAAGAAATTTTTTATTTGTTTAGGTGACTAATTGGTTTCCCAACCCTTAACCAGCCAACATAATCTTATGAATATTAAAAAAAATAGTTTTTAGGTGATTATTTCCTTTTTTAGGACTTGAGAAGGAGGTGGTAGAAGATCTTTGTTTTGATGCCATGTTTGTGTTCAATCTCCTGACCATTGGCTTGGGCATCAACAACTCAACTTGGGCAAATATTAATTTTACTGATGAGGTTAGTATGTTTACTGTAGGTTTATTAAAGGTAGCAGGTATCTTTTTGTAGTCATGATTCTTATGAACCTGTATATATTTAAAGCTCAAAGAGATCATTTAGTGGATATGTACACTATTATCTTTGATGTAGAGAAACAAGAATGAGAGTAGGCTATATTTTAAGATATATATTATTTCATGTGCAAGGACTTTATTAAACCTTGTAGGAAAACTTTACCTGTGAATAAAATCAACTAATATTGGAGGGTATATAAAGTACAGTGTTGTCAGACCTTTGTGCTCTCTTCGACCAGTAATCTTAGAGCTTGACAACAATCGTAAGTGACACATGGGGTGAATACAGGGGAAGTTTGCTTATGAATGCTGCTTGAAATTTTTGAAGTAGTAAAAGCAGCTCATAATACAGTGTCCAGAATTAGCTATCTATTTCTATGAAATTGGACAATTTTAAGGAAAAATCATGCTTATTGATGATATATCTTATAAATGTAAAAAGTTTCTAAATTATTTCATCTCTTTTTCAGAACCCTAGCCCTAATAATGAATATACAAGAATGCACATTTGTTGTGTCATCCTGTATCAAAGGATTGTGATATAACGAAATCAGAGAAAGATTTACAAGGAAATTTCACAGAATCGGTCCTACAGGCAAAGCGATTCATGAACTTGAACAAATTTAAAAGAACTGGATCCGTACAAAATGTGTTTCACAACGCTAAGGTTAGATTTGAAATATGTAGGGATTCAGATGGAGCACATTTTTAAAATCCTCAATAAAGATTTGACTTATGATTTATAAATATATAATTTTTTTTCTATTATAAAAATTTGGTAATACTGTACCTGTAACATAAAATTATGTAGCTTTTAATAGATTCATCTGATTTCATAGACACAGATAGCTAATTCTGGGACACCCTAATGAATACACAGGGAAGAGGTATGGAAAAAGGGAGTATGATGAGAATAATAATGTTTGTTAAAAGATCGATGTAACAGAGAAATTGAATAAGGATGTGTTCTTACACAGGTTTCTGTCATCCTGTCTTAGCTCTGCAGACTGCCAGAGATAATAGGATGGCTATCATCATGTAACAAAACAGTATAGCATCCAGAAAGAACTGCTTGTGTATTTGCCAGTTCCATATTGCTTAAAATATTGATTAACAAGTAGAGAATTAACCCTTACACTGCTCAGGGGTCCTTGGGACATTTACACTCCTGTGCGCAAGGAAAAAAAAAAAATAAAAATTTTTTTTTCGTCTTCTAAACATGTTAATTTGTGTCCCCTGAGCATGGAAAAAAAAAAAAAATCGTAGGCGACATATTTTGGGCGCAATTGACCGAGGAAGTCTTGCAAAAAGTGGGCGTTGACAGAGCGGTCGTCAGGCCCAGTCAGCGTCACCCGCGCTGACAGATGGGAGTTGCCACAAAGATGATATTACCTAATTGTTTCAATGTCTCTGATTGATTTTTTCTTAGTTTTTTTGCAGTAATATTATTCAATACTGTGTATTGTAATATATTTATATAATAAAAGTGGTGAATAATCGCTATACTCAAAAGTATGATGTGCATATTAGTGATTCAATTATTATGTTTATAAAACAATAAACAAATAGTTTTGCTGCTATTACACTCTATACACAGGTTATATATTAGTATCTGCATGTTTTGGTCACCATAACGAACCACTAAGTTGGTATCGAGAGTCGAAAAGCAACGAAGAGTTACCGCCACACACCAGCCAGCCACTCGCTGCCACTCCCTCAACACACGCACTAAACTTTCTCCCCCAACAATACCATTTGTGGTGTTATTACACTATATACAGACGTTATATATAAGTATGTATATATTTTGTTCACCACAACTGTACAGCTAAGCTGATATAGTTAGTTCAGGCACTAAGAGTCGTCGCTACACACAGATGGCGGCTCCATCACTCTTTCAAGGTCACATGCACTAAGCTGATATAGTTAGTTCAGGCACTAAGAGTTGTCGCTACACACAGATGGCGGCTCCATCACTCTTTCAAGGTCACATGCACTAAACTTTCTCCCCCAACAATACCTTTTGCAGTGTTATTACCCTATATACACATATTATATATAAATATCTACATGTTTTATCCACCGTAACTGTACACCTAAGCTTGTAGTGTGCCCAAAGATCATAGTGGCCACCCTCTAAACAGCTAGACAAATCGTGCAGACGACGTCACCTCCGTCACCCATATGGCTCCTCCCAGCATAATCCTTTTGCTGTTATTACACTAATACACACATTATATATAAGTATCTACATTTGTGTTCACCATAAAGAACCACTGACCTGGTATGGTGAATGCAAACAATAACAGCTAGCCACACAGTCAGTAAACGATGCTGTCTCCCTCCATCTCTCAGCATCACTCCTCTCACAGCGCTAATTATTACAACAATCCTGCTATTATCACAACCCTGGTTATTTATATCACAGTCATGGGTCATCTGTAATATTGTTATCGCTAAATAATAACAATTATATATTTATTTTGACATTTTTCGGCGATGCTGTGGTCACAAGCTGAACAGCAATGCTGTTCGCTCATGCTGCGTGCGCCGGCCTTGGTTGCTCCAACAGTACTGTGCCTCTCACACCTGAGAATATTGCCCACGATTTTTTTTTTTAAATGGCATCTGTTTACAAGAGCCCTGAGGAAGCTACTGTGAACCCCGTGTAGCCGCGGGCCATTTGAATCAGGCCTGGCACCCTATGGCGTATATATACGCCATGCGCACCATGGGACATGTTACTCAGGGCGTATATATACGCCATGCGCAGTTTAAGGGTTAAAGCAGAAGAAAATCATTATTACAGCACACATTATAACATGAACCGTTCTTCTGACCATGCCAATCCCAGACCACATGGGACCTGCAGGAGATTACCAGCAGCTACTGGGGATGACTAGCCAGGAGACCAGGAACAGGAGACATGTTCTGGACCACCATCTAACCTGTAAAAACTTGAACAAGCAGGGTTGGTCACGTACAGCTGCACTTAAGTGAGAATAACACACAATACAGGGCGTCAGCAATTTCTGGAAAAAGGTCGGAAGCCAACTCTGGTATAGGGGGAAGAGAGTAAATATAAGAATAAGGGCAGGCCAAGAACAGTGGGTTTCTTACCCAGCTGGGAGAAAGAGAGGGGTTGATCTACGTTAGAGTAATGCCTGAAGGCCGAGGCCTGGTCGACAACCGGGCCGCGGGGACGCTAAGCCCCGGAAAAACTCCAAAGGTAACTCCAAGGAAAGATGGACCTGCAGGGAGTAATAAACTAAGTGTACCTTGCAATATCCACAAGTGTTTTAACATACTGCCAGGCCCAGCGGGCTACCTGTATGGCACCGCAAGGTAGGCCAGGCCTTACCTTTGACCGCACAGCTCAATATTAAACTCTTTCACTAATAACGTTTATGCTTACTAAGAAGAAGAACCAAAAATTAATTGTTGATGTCATGCCCCGAACTGTGTGTATTGTTTTGATGACTGTGCGAATGTCATCACGACGCCAAAGTGTTAAACAGAAAAGATTGCTGAGGCCTGCTGGAATTGAAGTGGACATCGGCTGTAATGGACACGGCAGAGGGAGGGGCTGAAGCAGAGAATGAGGTCAGGGGCCCAAGGTATCCACAGTGTATATGAAAATGCTGAAAGACTGGAAATCAAGAGGCAGAACCATGTAGGGAGGACACGGGGGAAGGCTAGGAAGGAAGAATGTATACACAGGGAGAGAGACCAAGGGAAACACTATACCAGGCCACGAAGGTGCAGGAGAATCAGGCATCAGGATCAAGGTCCTGTAAATGACTCTGTATCTGGGGATTGGAAGTGGGCCTGAGGGTCCTGAATTGCAGCACAAGCCTAAGTGATGTCTTGTATACAGTGTAACAGTATATTTACAAGATGTCGCAGTTGGTGCCATGCCTCTAAGGAGACATTGTCCTAGTGCTACAGGTTAACACTTTAGTGCGCGCGGCACTCGTGAAAAAAAAAAGCGCCTTGTACGCGCGGCGTTCTGGGCGCTCAAGCGTAAACACAAAAAAGTGTATAATCTTTTCACGCTTCTAACATCAATTCTCGAGCTACGTTTTTCATTTTGGTATCAATGCGTTGGCAATAAAATTCTCTACAAGATCATATGCATAAAATGTCACCAAAGCATTTGCTATCCCACCACGAAGTAAATAAACACGAAGATGACTCGCCATGACACCCAAACAGGAAGTACTCAATGTTCATACTCTTTCGTTTGTTACCAGCCTCACAGTCATCCTACAGTGCTTATTTTGATATCACTGAACTCGCAATAAAATTCCCCACCCAGACATATGCCTATCAATGTCTAATTATGTTCCGCACGAGTGTGGGAACTGGGCGAAGCGTTAGCTGTGATTTCAGCAGCGACGCCACTGTTGTGATGCAGTGCTTTGAAAGTTTATACTTATTTCACTGTCCTGACATTATTTCTCGAGCTACGTATTTCATTTTTATAGCAATGTGTTCGCAATAGAAAGTTTTATATATAACAATAGAAAGTTCTATAAGAACATGGGTAGAATTGGCCAACAGAGCGTCAAATAAATTTGTGGCGAATAAAATCTTACGCGTGTTTGTACCCGTGAGCATAAAAAGTTTTTACTTTGCTCATGTTTCTTCAAGTTTATACTTGTTTCACACCGTTTTTTTTGTTTGTATAGTGTTCGGAATAAAATTCTCTACACAGACATATGCATATAAATGTAGAATCATGATCGCGGCCAACACAAGAGTGTGTGGAGTGGGCAATTACCCTCGTTGTGTCACCAACTCAATAGTCTCTCCTCTAAGTTACAATACATTGCCGTTTTCTCAAATAGGCACTGTGCCTATTAGAGAAAACAAAAATTTAATGGCAAACATATTCATACAAACCCCAAGTCGATCGAGTAGTAAATACCCACTATAACATGGTCCGTAAATTTACGTCGTGATCCGACAAGCGCTTATCTAAACCGCCCGTAATTCCAAGTGGAAACTCCAGGAAAGTGTTAAGAGTGGATGGCACTGTAATTAATGCATCAAAGTCTTAGTCAGTCTTAGTATTGCCAGATTTGATACATAAAGGGCAAAAGAACTCCGCTACAACAAGTCAAAGCTGTGTCCAAGAGGTTGTTCTGGAAACTGGAATATACTGGAGTGACAGGGAGGCTTCTAATATGGATGAAAAATTTTGACCAAAAAATGAGGGTAATAAACAGAGGCTTGTATCAGACTGGAGAAATGTTACCACAGGGTTCAATTCTTGCACTGGCAATGTAGTGTCTACATAAACATTCCTCCAGAAGGAATACAGAATTATATGAACATGTTTGCTGATGATCCTTAGATATCAGGGAAGATACAAAATTTATATGATTATCATGCTCTTCAAGAATACCTGGACAGAAGTGTATGGCACACCACTTGGCAAATGAAATTTATGTGAATAAATGCCATGTTATGGAATGTGGAAGAATTCTGATAAAGAAAGACCTAGGGGTGGTATTAGATAAAAAAAAAAAGTCACCTGAGGACCACATAAAGAACATAGTACGAGTAGCCTATGCTACACTTTCCAAATTTCATAATTTTTATTTAAATACATGGATGGTGAAATATTATATAAATTGTTCGCAACCTTAATGAGACTAAAATTGAATATGCAGCGGTGTATGGTGCCCATATCTTGACCCTTAAGCTGCTAAGGGGTCCTGAGGAGATTTACACCCCTGTGCATAAGAAAAAAATCTAAACTTTTGTAGTCTTCTAAAAATGTTAATTTGTCTTTCCTGAGCACGGGAAAAATAAAAAAAATCGTAGGCGACTTATTTTGGGTACAATTGGCCGAGGAAGTCTTGCAAAATGTGGGCGTTGACAGAGCAGTCGTCAGAGGCGGTCAGCGTCACCCCAAGATGTCAAGTGGGAGTTGCCACAAAGATGTTATTACTTAATTATTTCAATGTCTCTAATTGATTTTTTCTTAGTTTTTTGCAGTAATATTATTCAATAGTGTGTAGTGTGATAGATTTATAAAATAAAATATGTGAATCATCGCAATACTGTACTCAAAAGTATGGCGTTCATATTAGTGATTCAATTATTACGTTCATTAAACAATAAACAAATAGTTTTGCTGTTATATATAATTTGTGTAGTGTAATAAGTATCTACATGTTTTGTTCACCACAACTGTACAACTAAGCTGATATACAGTAGTTAGTTCAGGCACTAATGAGATGTTGCTACACAGTGTTAACTGGGCCAGGCTGCCTCCCTCACTCATTCAAGGTCAGGCTCACTAAAATTTCTCCCCCAACAATACTGTTAGTGGTGTTATTACACTATATACACACACATTATATATATAAGTATCTACATGTTGTATGCACCATAACTGTACACCTAAGTACTGTACTACCCTGCTTAATATGCACAGTCGGAGGGTTAAAGTTTATGATAGTTTTGACATCCACCATCCACTTAATTAAATAATTTCTACCATTCACAACTCTGTTCACCAAAAAACCTTTTGTACATTTTGTGTGTATGTGAAACTAGTACAGAACATCACCAGCTATCATTCCATGTATATGCTTCAAATGAAATGGAATACTTGTCTTCATAATTTTATGGTATTTAGTAAAGGATTTACTTTGGTAATGTAAACAACAAAATTATTACAGTACTGTATAGGATTATACACTAACACATCATCAATATAACTAGCTAGCAAAATGGACAAATTTTTACCATATTCTAATTCATTTTATTCCATTCAGGTAAACAAGAGGGAGGTGGCATGGTCACAGGGATTCATGCTATACCGCACCTCGAGCTTTGCCTCGGATACTCCAGGCCGTTTATTGACCCTCACTACGTTTTCACTGCTGGTACTCCTCTTCTTGGCCTTTGTTAGCAGTGGCATTCTCTTCCTGCAACACTTAATCAAAATAAAGAGGCACAGCGCTTCTTACCAAAGGTGTGAGCTTCATCAAGCATAGATCAATGTTTTTGTCTGCTGAATTTTACTGTAGCATTCTTTGATAAGATAAATAAATTTCCAATTGTGACATTTGAAGATAAATACATTTGTTTAAAAGCCTTTAGTCACTCCTTATTCAAAACAGATCTTGTAAAGTGAATGTGTTATTATAAATAATGACTATCAATTTAGTACTGTTTCAGATTTAAAAGAAATTCTTAAACCTTATACATCCTGTATAAGGCACTTCACCTTCTATAAAGGTGAAGTGCGTGACACATGCCTTATCATAGCCAACACTTGCTGATCTTGTCTCTGCTTGCTAATTATTCTGACTATGCCAATACCTTAAATGTTTAATCAAGTTCAGCATGTTTGTCTACCCATCATCGAGTTAAGCATTTAGTAATTACATGTGATATCTTACCTAGGCACATCCAATCATATTATAAAATAAGTCAAAGTTGAATTTGCAAGAACTAAGTTATACAGTAGTTGGGAAAGTGCATCGTTTAATACTGTAATATACATTCACATTTCCACACAAACACAGTGTTTGATGTTCTTGGGAAACACTCTTTCATCATATCATTAAAAGTTAAATAAGAAATCTAGCAAAATTTAGTTCCAGCTTAAGAACAACACATGAATACTTTTTGTTAACACTTTCCATTTATAAGTTGAAGTTCCCTGTACTGGATTTGCCCTGTTGTCCCTGTACTCCCCAGTGGAGTACAGCTTGTCTAGACATTCTAAACTAAAGGGTAGGAGATATGCTGAGCATACCATACTACCTTCTGTTTTTTTATTGGGTCATAGAGCCTTTCCATTTAGTTTGGTTATTCCTCTTGGAGAGTTGATCTTAATTTGTAAGCCTAACCCATGTTATATGAATATTTGATGATACAGTGGCAATGACTTTGTTGATTTTGTACTCGAGAAAATGTTAATCAGGCCATGATAATTAATATGAAAAAGACATAGTAACTGGGTTCTTTCTTGGGGCATTTAGGATTTGTGACCAGCATTTCCTTGATGTACCAAATACCAATACATAAGCAATTCATATCTAAACATTAAACACACTATGTATTTAATTAATGTGTGCGGAATTTTAGCAATATAGGCCAACATAACGTCAGCAAAACAAACCCAGAATAATGACTTGTTCACCCTCAAGACAGTGTAGAGTAACACTTGCAATAAAGCCATTACATGGACAATATATGAGCTATGCACAAAACCACAACAACAACAATTGGCAACCTTGTCAGAAGCAGAATTAACATCACCACCACCACAGCATGGTGTACACTTTGCACAATGAAGTAACAATATTGTGATGTATCTAAAAACAAAATGTCAGTGAGTGGGATTGATCTCATACATGTGGACTTAAGAGAAACGAGCTTTACCCACTGTACCATAATGGGCTAATACCTGAAGCTCTTCTAGACTTGGACATTGTTTTATGGAAACATTACTTCCTGGAATCATCACAAATTACACAAGATGGAGGTTTACCCATCCATTGAGGTGATGGTAGCAAGTTCTCCTCCCAACCTTTTGCCAGTCAGTGTACAATGAAATCACAATAGCATGATATATTTATCTTGTAATTGTGACAAAGTACACACAGGAAAAACATCCAGAAGCTTAGGTTCAAGGACTTATGATTGTAAGTATGCATGTCACATCAATAGCACTTTACAGTCCTTGCATCATAGGCACAGACCAAGAATCTCACCTCACAAATTTTAAGGCCGTTAAATTCTAAATCAAAGATGAAAGTGTATAGAATTTGCAGTAATTAACCCCAAAAAATTTAGTATTGCATTACCACTTAATAAACTGTTACTACAAAAATAAAAATGGCAAAATGCTTAATTTCTGGCATGTCTGGTCTTACCACACCTTCAGCTCACTTTCTCAACTGCCCAGTGTATTTGTTACAATTTATAAAATACGTACAAGGAAAATGCCATCATCAATAATGTCTACATTCAGTTTGCTGTTTGTTATATTCAGTGCTAGTTCTGAATTTTGCAATATAAGTTAAAAGCAAAAAAAAAAAAAAACCAGTACAGGGAACTTCAACTTATAAATGGAAAGTGTTAACAAAAAGTATTCATGTGTTCTTAAGCTGGAACTAAATTTTGCATTGACACAATACATACAGTATGAAGAGAAAACTTGGAGAAAAAAAAACTCCATTGCATATTCCTCTTAAGTACAGTATTTCAACCACTTCCCTCCCCCCCAACCTCCCTGAAGCTTAAACAAGACAAGCTTAAAGACTTGTCATACATAAATACCAACTCAACTCAGAACGTGCAATACCTCCAACAGCTTTATCTTGTACAACATGAATCTGAGGTGTTTAAACATAAGATAAAGATCAGAGATATGTCTACAATGGCCTGATAGATTACACTGAATGACTACTTCTTATGTATTACATTTGTTCTCTTTTCTTACTCTCTTACCATCTTTAACTGAAACATACATGAAAATTATTACATTGTCAATTGGTACGTAACTGCAATCTTAGGGAAAATGTATTCGTCATTTTCTATTTAAAAATGCCATCGACTTTCATTAATTTAACTATGCTAACATGAAAGTACATAATTTAAGCTAAGTTTAAAAAAAATCACCTGGAAAGATTTCTGGTTACCCCAGATATGGCATTTTGAAAGTATTAAAACTTTGAAGCATTTTACTCATTTAATTTTGTTATAGTGCTTAGTCATGTATGCTGGAGGATCTCTATTTCCAGACCACCATAATCAATATACAAACTCCAGTTTTTGGGGACAAATAATATAAGCAGCACTGTGTATTATCTACTTTGAATGATAGAATTATCATATTTGTCAAAGTTCACAGTTTTCAAGAATGAGATCTAATTACTGGAGGAGGCAGTAGGTGATGTACATGAGGCAAACACTGGTGGGTCATCTTCAGTGTCACTGGCTGCTCTACAAGTTGTAGGCTTTTGATCAGTCTGATAGCAGGACTGGAGATAAATTTTCTGGTTAGTTTGAACATACAACCATCTCCTTTTACATTGCAAATTTGTTGGTAGGGTGTGGGACCATTTAAATTTGTGAATGTTAAGGATTTATCAGCATTGAGATCTAGCTCCTTAAACAGTCTATCATCATAAATGCCCCTATTTTCTTGGTTATGAATCGTTTTGGTGATGTCACCACCCCACATTTGGAACTAGCTCATCTGAAATATTTGCTGCCTCCAATTCAATGTCTTCATGTAAGAGCTTTTCTGACTAAGAGTCTAACAACTCTAACATTTTCCTTCTCCAAATCAGTGTCTACCTGCTTAGCAATTTCAGTAATGTTTTCGTTCACTGTAAATACTAGTCTTTAAATATCTTTTGTTACCCTAAGCATTGTGAGCACACTTTTCTCACAGCTGACAGATGTGTGGCTCTGGTTTTTGGTAGCCCTGTTTGGAAATATCATGCTCTTTGCCACAAGCCATTTTGTTCCTATCATCATGAGGATTGTTGTCTTTTTCCAGCCTTCTTGTTTTCCATTTTGTCCTATGAAAGCAGCCCGTATTTAAAGTGTCCTCTTCTAACCTACCCAGAGGACCCAAAACAAAAAATGGGACAGTATGTCACTTTTGTAAGCTGCTTCCATTTTCTGGTACGACAATTTTTGGCCTTATGTAACACATACGAGTGAAAAGCGACGTTCTTTGTAGGAAGACAGGTTGATGGAAGAGTCCTCTGGTAATGGACACTTAGTTTCTCTTCACAGTGTATATTTGAAGTTATCACTGTTGGTAGATTGTAATTGTTATTATTTACTGTAGATAATCAATGTCATTCTATCTGGTGACATAAACAAGTGAGCCTTGCTCAGAAATATAAATTGTTAAATGCATAATCTCTCACATGTCTTGCCTTAGCCTAACTATAAACATCTAGCCTATCTATATGTGTTTGTTTTGATAAAGCCAGAGGAAACAAAAGATGATCTTCAATGAAGTCTACTCTCAAGCTGACATTTCTATTACTCACTGTCAGCCATTTGTACTCTGTTCAGTCATCTATATAACATTACTTATATTATCATTAAACTTTTTTTTTAACCCCCAAAATACTTCATATCAGGTGGAATTGTCTTATGTACAGTATGTTATTTCCTTCTTGCAGGGTTATTGCAGACCACATTGATCAGGAACTTCATAGATTTATATAAGTAAAAATGATTTCCGTGTTTAATTTATCATTGGATTGTACTGAACACAAAGGAACAAATCTGAAGGGAACACAAACATGGTGACACAGTACCTCCGACCCATGTAACAATAACAATGTGATGGTAACATACAGCAATATGCTAACATGAACCAGTAAAGTAAGTCAACAATATGGGCCCAGAAGCTGAAGCTCGTTTCCTGCAAACAAATGCACGTAGATTATGGCAGCAAAGTAATGCGACAAAAGCAACATGACCACACACACACACAGCAACATGCTGCAGTGTGACAACATACATGACAGTCACAGTGAGGGAAAGTTCACATAATGGCAGGATGTTACCAGCAGCATCCCACAGGAATCATCCCCTAATCTAGGGGAATGACTTATCAGAGGGAATAGAGTCCTTCCTCTCAATATTTACTGATAATGCAAAAATTTCTTAGAAAGATAGATAAGGAAGAAAACTGCAAGAACCTATGCAGTGACCTGGTTAAGATGAAAGAATGGCCAAGAAAGTGGTTATTTGAATTTAACTGAAGCAGTGCAAAGTAATGAAACTGGGAACAGGAAGCCAGACTTAATAGGACAGAAAATCCTCTTGGAATAGAAGAGAAAGACTTAAAGGCTGTTACTACACTGAATCTGTCACCATAAGCATGCATCAAATAAATATGAGGTGCTTATGAAAGGATGGCCAACATAACTGCTTTTAGGAATATGAAAGGGATTCATTCAAGTCGTTATATGCCATATACTGTACAGAATATCAGACCAATTCTGGAATATGCGATATCAGTGTGGAATCTGCATCCTGCTAAGCAAAAAAAAAAAATAACGCAGTATTTCATAAGTATGCCACCAGACTGATTCCAGAGCTGGGAGTTATGGGTTATAAGGAAAAACTAAAATGAACTAAGAGAAGAAACAAGGAAACATGATTCCCACACACAAAATTATCAGGAAAATAGATTGGGCAGATAAGAGCCAAATTGAGTACTCAATTGAGGCACAGACATTGGAAACTTCTCAGAATAATAACTGAAATACACCAGGAAGTGAAGCGATGGAGGTAAGCTCCATGCACAGCTTCAAATGTAGATATGCTATAGTTTGTACCCAAACACTAGTCAATTAATGGGCAAGAAGCAGCTGTAGCTCAGCTCCAACAAGTACAACCGAATACTGCACTGTTGCAACACAGTAAATTGACACATTTGCAACACAAAAACATGACCACAATGTTTAAGTGAAGTACACAATAACATGGCAGCACACAGCTACATGTCACACAGTTGTGTGACATGACGAATCTTACATCGAAATGTGATGTACTATTTAGGAGAATGGGTTGACCAAAAATCTAAATAGTACACTTTTTTCTACTATTCTCATACTAAAATACCTAATCCCATTTATAGTAACACTACACAACATGGTGTCACATTAAAACAGCACATCATGATGGTGACACATGGTGATGGAAACATTGCAGCAATGAGAGGCAACACACAAGATGCAACAACAGCATGATCGTCACTGTAGGGAACTCAACTGTATGTGTATGTAACCTGATCTCAATCATCCAGATAATATCTGTGCTTCAACAGCAGATTAACTTCAGAATGGGTTATAAAATCTTCCATGTACTCTATGCAATTATAGTTTAATTTTTCTATTAACATTTAAGAGAGCCAGGCCATTCTCTTTTGGTCAATACCCATGGCCCAGCCATAATATTATACATTATTATAACAAAATTATGTTTTGTATTTCTATTGTATAACAATGAATTTTAAAAATATATATATATTTATCTGCCCTTGATATTTCCAGTGTTCTACTGTATACATATATTCAGACCAAACGTTAAAGAAATCAAGAATATATATTGATCAAATACAAAAGTCCAGTTTAGCAAGACCACATTCTGTGTAGGGCAGGTTGCATTCTTGGAAAATTTAGTGTAAATAAAGTTTAAAGTTAGATAGGAAGAAAAGAGATGAGGTTCAGAAACTTTCTAAAGTTACCCATTTTTCCATTATCTCAAATGTATTCAAGTTAATACCATCTATCAATGCAAGGTTCATAACCCTGGAGGACCTTGTGTAGAGTATATTCATGCAATAAATTTAACTTAACATGGAAATAATAGATTAGGTACCAGGGTCCAGATACACAAGCACTTACGAACCTGTCCTCCTTTTCTCGATCTTTGTTTACAATTATTAAACAGGTAGTGAGCTCCGAAGCACCAGGAGGGTGTTTATAACAATAACAACAGTTGATTGGGAAGTTTTCATGCTTGTAAACGGTTTAATAAATGTAACCAATGCCGTCGAAGATTGAGGAAAGATATACACGTTCGTAAGTACGTAAGTAACTGCTTTGTGAATCTGGCCCCAGAGCAGTCCCCTTCTCCCAAGCATTCCCAACACATCTAAACTGTTGTACTAAACTGCCCAAACCTAACCTACCCAAGGACCCACAAACAGAAAACAGGACATCATGTCAATTTAACGAGCTACTATCATGTTCTGTACACAAGTTTTTGGCCTTAAGGAAATCTTACATCGAAATGTGATGTACTATTTAGGAGAATGGGTTGACCAAAAATCTAAATAGTACACTTTTTTCTACTCTTCTCATACTAAAATACCTAATCCCATTTATAATAACTAAGTTTATATACAGTATATACAGTACCCTTAAACTACACAATACATACATTAGTATATGATTTGACATAACATAATTTAACATAAGTTTTTAAAACTTGCACAAATACTTTCCAATTATTTTTGTGTAATCAACTGGGCAAATGCTCCAACTTTGTCTAAATGATCACAACATAACTTGAAAAACAAGAGAATCAAAATTAATTTTAAAATTGAATATTGAAAACTTCAGATTTTCAATTCAGAATAAAAAATATGAACTATCACCAATTGTTCATTTAATGTTATTATTCTCTCAGAATAGCATATGATCTTCATTTTCATCAAATTAGAATATAGGATTTCAGTATAGTTTACTGTAAAAAAAAAAAATTGTCAATAAGGCATTTGAAATATGCGGCAAAATTAGAAAAAAAAAAATTATAACTCCAAATTTATAAGTTTATGAAAAATCCATTCTGAAGGAATTGTAGAACAGACAGCTGAGCACACAATATGTTAAAATAGTGAGAATCGGTCAAAAACTGAAATTTTAGAAGCCACATAATTTAAGTTATCAGCAATGAATACAGGTAGTTTTAATTCGTTAATTTAATTGTATGTTTTAACACTTTCGCGCTTTCCGCAAAGGTCACTCAGCCAACCGAATGTGCGCGCAGCGTTTTTATCGCTTAAGCGTAAAAACAAAAATGTGTATACTCTTTTTACTCTTCTGACCTTAGTTCTCATGCTACGTATTTCATTTTGGTACCAACGTGTTCGCAATAAAATTCTCTAGAAGAACATCAGTAAAAAAAGTCACGAAACGTATAGGGATACCAGCACCAAATAAATAACTACGAAGATGACTCGCCGTGAGCGCCCATCAGCAACAAAATGTTTTTACTCTTGGGATTGTAATCACCTCCACACTTATTCTACAGCGTTAATTTTGGTATCAATGGACTCGCAATGAAATTCCCAACACGGTGATATGAATATAAGCGTAGAATAATGATGCGGCCCGCCCGCAAGAGTGTGGGAAGTGGTGAAATTGTTACCCGGTATCGGTGACGGGACGACGCACGGCGCTTTGAAAGTTTATACTTATTTCACTCTCATGACATTAATTTTCTATGTACGTCATTCATTTTTGTGTCAATGTGTTCGCAATAGAATGTTCTATGTGCCCATAGGTAAAAAATATCAACAAAGCGTAAGTTAGAATAGCGCCAAATATAAAACAACGCTGGAACATATCAGTGAGCGTCAAACACACACGAAATGTTTTTACTTTTGTTATGTTTGTCAAGTTTATACTTGTTGCACACAGTTATTTTTGGTTGTATATTGATCGGAATAAAATTCCCTAAACAGACATATGCATATAATACATGATATGGGGGAAGCATTACCAGTATAAACGGCTAAAGTCACCCACCTGCAACCCGTTTGGGACAAAATACCATTTGATCGAAGTTATCCACACCTTTCATGAACTTATTGTACCATGCAGCCTAGTGGTGAGAAAGAGAGCCTCATAGCGCGCAGTTTGAAACAAACCCAAAGTAAATCGGATAAAAATTGAATTTTATACAAATATTTTAAAAGAGGACTCAACTTTATGTCCACTATGCGTTAGCGTTAGACGAAACGGGACGCGCCGGCGCGTCCAGATAGCGCGAAAGTGAACAAACATTGTACAAATAAACATTGTTTAGCATTTGTACTCGAATACTGTATATGAAAGTTGTAGGTCAATATGTGTTGAAATAAAGTTAAGAAAAAATAACCCCCCAAAAAACACACAAAATACTGTATAGGGATAATTATTATAATGATTTAGGAGATATATGTAGGGTATACTTTATATAAAGTGAAAAAGCCCTAATATGGCCCTTAATCATCAAAATAACTTAGAGAGACAAAGAAAATAGAGTTTAAAATCAGATAAAAAAAAACAGCGTTGAATGTAATGAAACGCCATTTCCTGGGTGTGACCCCGGAGGCTCCCTGGAGCTTACTAGGCTGATATGCTAATGACAGACTTTGGCATCAGTCGTGTGTATGGAGTTCTGTGGGCCTACCGGGGACCACGAGCCAGAACCTGGCCCCCCACAGAGAGGCTTGGGGAGCAATAGCCTATAGAAACCCCCGTGTGGTTGGAAGTATTCTATGTCTGCCATCGACCGGGTCTGGCACCCAGAAAGGTAAGCATCTCAAAACAAAACCCTATTCTGGTGAAAATATTGCTACCAAAAGCCGAACAAGTGGATAGAACTTACCTAAAAGAAACGAGCATGACATCACACATCGCCGCGTCGCTGTCTGCGCAGCTCCCCCCTCCCCGGTAGGGGAAGCCCCAGGCCCCCCACGCCGGCTATCCACCCATCAGTTGAGGCTGGATGTCAAAACACGCGAAAAACCGCCGACTGGAGGGCGGGAGGGATGCCAGGGAGCCTCCGGGTCACACCCAGAAATTGGCGTTTCATTACATTCAATGCTGGTTTTCTAGGGGTAGCCCCGTCGGTTTCCCGGAGTGAACTACCTACAGAGGAAAACAATAGGACTTGCCCGGAAAGCGGTCGCTGCTCACTCCTCAACTCGAAGTCGAGACAACTGGCTGCAACCGTCGACCCAAAGTGACACAGGCCCGACTAGGCCCTGTAATGTTTACGAGGGAACGAGTTAGCCAGGACCCTGTTTGACCAGGGTTGAACAGGGTCACAAACAAGCAACGAAACTTGCAGGACTCCGGGTCAAAGATGCCACTGACCCCACAGGCAGCAGACGGAGGCAAAAACCGTGACGGTCACCCTGAGCCAAGGGGACCGAGCAACCCTTGAACTTGCACGAAGCGAGCAGTTTATGTTTATTATTGAAGTTGAATTTGCTGAATTCTCCTCCACCGGAACTGGGACTGGTTTTGAAGGTCTATTCCCCATGCTTGTCAGAACTTCAATTATGTTGTGATCTGAGTTACAGGTATTTGTAATCATTATGTTCCTGATCAATTCATCATTATTGGTGAAAATGGGGTCCAGCGTGTTCTCCTTCCTAGTTGGCTCTACTATTTGCTAGTTTAAGGGAAACCTGTCACACATCCGTAGCAGGTCATTTGCATTTGCTATAAATTCATTAAAAGCAAATTCCAGGTAAAGGATAATATTTAGATGTTGAAAATAGGAAACAGATTCATGGAATATGAAAAGGAAATGTGTGAAACATCAAATGAACAGTTCCAAAGTGTTCCAAAGTGTTCCAAAATTTTCACCGAACCAGACACAATAAGAATTCCAGACCTCTGAGGTATACCAATAGGTTTGGACTGGAACTTACATGAGAACATATGGAGGTGATTAAAGGCCGACAGGTTTTCTAATTTAATTACACAAAATACTGACCATAATTAAGAATATAATATACTCAACTTTGTTAAATTGGCTACTCTTGCCAGTGAATGCACTGGATCTACAACTCATAACCTCAACCTCAACTCTGAATCATCACTACAACACTCCACACCCGGTTAGTCTCCCATGCAATACTCGCACACTGTAGACTCAACTCTGGTCAACAAGATCACAGCGGGTCCCAAGATTTGGTTGGTTTCTCCTCATCGCTGCCACAGGCAGATACAGAGTACTTAACAGAACCGCTGCTTCCACAAGACGCCTTCACCACAATACCCAGCATCTCAAAAAGGGTATAATCAGATTAAATATAAATCTCTGTTTCCAAGAACTTTGGATTACCCTTTGTGACCTCTTGGCTGTAACATTGTCTTGGGCAGGCTAAGACTGTCTTACTCTCTCTGACCTTACCTCATTGTGTGCCCACAGTCTGATTACTCACATGTACTACCATTCCTTCCAACCATCATTTGTTAATTAAGTGTTGTAGTGCTTGATTCACTAGCTAATACTCCTAACTTGTCAATTCCTTACAACACTTACACCTAGGTAATTACCAACTTTACACTGTACATGGATTGTGAAATATTGAAGAAATTGCTTATGACCTTTGTAAGACCAAAAATGGAACATGACACAGTTGTATGGTTCCTATATCTCAAGCAGCACATCAATAAATTGGAAAAGGTGCAAAGACATGCAACTAAATGGCTTCTAGAATTTCTAGAACTAAAAACAAAAGCTATGAGGAAAGGTTAGAGGTGTTAAATATAGAAAAGTTACAACCTAGAAGAAAAAGAGGTGATATGATCGCTAAGTACAAAATCATAACAGTACTGTAATTACAAAATTTACAATAGCTTTTGAAAACTGCAACTTCAAGAACAAGAGGACACAGGTAAAAAACTAAGGAAACAAAGCTGCAGAAAAGGAAAAAAAAGTTCACTTCTCCAAAGAGAGTGATAGATGGGTTGGAAGAAGCTAGGTGTGGTGATGGTGGAGGCCAAAACTGTCAGTAATTTCAGTCACATGACAGTACTGTACTGGAGCGATGGAACACCACGAGCATCACTCTTATCCTGTAACTACACTTTTATTTATACCCTGTCCATGCAACAACCCTTAAACAACACAGAATATAGAAATGAGTAGGAACCATGAGCAATCGAAGGACTCACCAGAAAGTAAATAATTATCAAACGAGGATTTCAAGTTGGGAAGTAAGTAATTATCAAAAGAAGGCACCAAGCTGGGAAGGCTATGTAGCACCATCAAATGTGCGGAATAATCAGAGGGCGCTAAATATCACTGAGGATGCCAATATGAAAATAGAAACACATAAGGCAAATGATATTAAAAGTATTCGATTCACCAAGAATTCCATCGAGGGATAAGTGACCGCGGGGGGACAGTCGGAAAGTAAAACACACGCTTGTCCTGGAAGTCAGGACATTCAACAAGGATATGCACAACCGTAAGAGGGACAATAAGAAGCAGGGCTGCACTCCATTAAGTGTCAGTGAGTTAACACTTTAGTGCGCGCGGCACTCCCTGAAAAAAAAAAGCGGGTTGTGTGCGCGGCGTTCTGGGCGCTCAAGCGTGAACACAAAAAAGTTTATCATTTTTTCACGCTCCTAACATCAATTCTCGAGCTACGTTTTTCATTTTGGTATCAATGCGTTGGCAATAAAATTCTCTACAAGATCATATGCATAAAATGTCACCCAAGCATTTGCTATCCCACCACGAAGTAAATAAACACGAAGATGACTCGCCGTGACACCCAAACAGGAAGTAAATGTTCATACTCTTTCGTTTGTTGCCAGCCTCACAGTCATCCTACAGCGCTTATTTTGATATCACTGAACTCGCAATAAAATTCCCCACCCAGACATATGTCTATCAATGTCTAATTATGTTCCGCACGAGTGTGGGAACTGGGCGAAGCGTTAGCCGTGATTTCAGCAGCTACGACACTGTTGTGATGCAGCGCTTTGAAAGTTTATACTTATTTCACTGTCATGACATTATTTCTCAAGCTACGTATTTCATTTTTATAGCAATGTGTTCGCAATAGAAAGTTCTATAAGAACATGGGTAGAATTGGCCAACAGAGCGTCAAATAAATTTGCGGCGAATAAAATCTTACGCGAATCTTACACATGTTTGTACCCGCGAGCGTAAAAAGCTTTTACTTTGTTCATGTTTTTTCAAGTTTATACTTGATTCACTCCGTTTTTTTTGTTTGCATAGTGTTCGGAATAAAATTCTCTACACAGACATATTCATATAAATGTAGAATCATGATCGCGGCCAACACAAGAGTGTGTGGAGTGCGCGATTACCCTCGTTGTGACACCAATTCAATAGTCTCTCCTCTAAGTTACAATACATTGCCGTTTTCTCAAATAGGCACAGTGCCTATTAGAGAAAACAAAAATTTAATGGCAAACATATTCATACAAACCCCAAGTCGATCGAGTAGTAAATACCCAATATAACACGGTCCGTAAATTTACGTCGTGATCCGACAAGCGGTTAGGGAAACCGCCCGTAAGTCCAAGTCGAAAATCCAGGAAAGTGTTAAGGACAGTCTTTGCATTGCAATTCAAGAGCAAATATTGATTACAAGAAAAATAACCACTTTATGAAATACCAATGTTTAATTTTATTATCTTGACTTACATCAGTGAAAGTGATTGTAGTATACATAGCTTCATGGCCTTAATATTAGTTATAATTAACTCAAATACTGTACATATTTGTCTTAAATCTTTTGCAGCATAAGAAATGATGAACTGTACAAGATGATTTGAATACTAAAATTAATAATACTAGAAATCAAGTCTGTAACTCAAAAATAGTAATGATGAACTGTACAATAAAATTGGAACTAAAAAAAACTTCAAAATTAGCCAGATTCTTTAAGATGCAAAACATTTACTCACTTCTCCAAGCTTGGTGTGCACCAACACTCACTTCTCCAAGCTTGGTGTGCACCAACACTCACTTCTCCAAGCTTGGTGTGCACCAACACTCACTAAATGCAAACTATAAAATTTGACATAACATTTTTAACGGTGTAATAAAAAATATATAATTCTAAATAACCAAACTCGTAAACAAAGGAAAATCTTGTTTTGGAAGACGGTAATAAAGTTGAGGCAGATCAATTTCACCGGTCTTTGTCATCTGGTGAAACTCTGACTAAAAGTAAAACATTCAGTACATTTATGCAAATGCCATTCATAGCTTGAGCAATGAAAGTCACTCAGAATATAAAAGTTCATTAAATGTTTCAGGAAACATTAACAAAATATGACAAATTACTAGAAGTGAGCCTGATTTGCTCATATTATTTACTGTATACATTACAGAAACAGCCAAATAATTAACCAATTGCAATAATGGTAATGGCAATGAATGCAACTAATTTAATGATACAAGGGACTAAGAATGAAAAAACATAATTTTCATCAACAAGTTAAAAAGAAAAATATATAAATCAATAGCCTGTCAGATTAAGATCAGTAAGGGACAGGTGATCACATGAGCAAAGCATTATCTCAAACAAGCCACTTGCCTTCTGGTCACAAAGTGTACCCCATACAAATATATTTTATCCTGCAATCTTGTAAGGATTAAGTCAACATAATGTGAAACTTGTATTTTTCACGCTGTACATGAGAAATCTTTATAACATATTATATACAAAATATATTTAAAACATAACAGCAACATCAAGACATTTTCATTAAAGCTAAAAAAAATATACAGAAATGAAATAATGATGCTTGAAAATAAAACATGATAAATACTGGAGGATTTGAAATTCAAGACAGCTATTTATCAGTACTGTACTTCTGTTCATCATAATGGCTTTGAAAGAATAAAAACAATCAATCTTGAAATTCTTGAACAGCCTAATAATATTGCCTTCAGGTACACATCAGATGCAAAAGCTGCAAAATACAATGGGCTATCTGACCGAGACCAGAGTTTACAAAACACACACTAATGCATGTCTTACTGTTAATCAGGTCCTACAATACCAAGAAACCTTATATCCCAGGCACATTTATTACACCAGAATGTCAATTCATATGTCAGTGTATTCAATATAGCTGTTGTAACATCTATTAATTCCGAACAACCAGGACAATAATCTGTTAACTTCTCCAGCCGTACACTCCTACGGTTACTAAGAGACTTTTGCGCATTTATCAGCTCTTTATGCTGCAAAGCCAATTTTCTTGATTTTGGCATTGGACGTTCGAATGATTTTTTTCTCTTTAGTCCTCTTTTCATTAGTAAATCTGATTTACAAGAATCTGTTGGCAATTCATTTGCTTTTATATCACTAGCAGGTATATTATTATCACCAGAATAACCTGCCATATTCTTCAAGTCTTTATCACAAGAGGCATCCTCTGTCCTACAACTGCTATTACTCGGGGCCAAGGTGAACTCTTCTGGTAAAGTTACATCATCTCTCTTAGTTACAGAACTTCCCTTTGCTTTACTGTTTACCTTTTGTCTATGTATATACATCAAATGCTGTCTAATATCTTTGTCACACTCATTTTGGGACAAAACATACATTTGGCATTTAATATTCTTCTGGACATTGGTTTCAGTTTGGGAATTAGTGTTAATAAATTTGTCTTTTTCTGATTCAAATGCAATACCCTTTTCTTGAACCAATCTACTAGTCATGCTTATACCTTCTAATTTATTGGTGGCACTTTGGTCTGGCACCAGTTTACTGGTGGCACTCTGGTCTGGCACCAGTTTGCTGGTGGCACTTTGGTCTGGCACCAGTTTACTGGTGCCACTTTGTTCTGGTACCAGTTTACTGGAGGCACCTTGGTCTGGTACCAGTTTACTAGTGGCACCTTGGTCTGGCACCAGTTTACTAGTGGCACTTTGGTCTGGCACCAGTTTACTAGTGGCACTTTGGTCTGGCACCAGTTTACTAGTGGCACTTTGGTCTGGCATCAGTTTACTAGTGGCACTTTGGTCTGGCACCAGTTTACTAGTGGCACTTTGGTCTGGCACCAGTTTACTAGTGGCACTTTGGTCTGGCACCAGTTTACTAGTGGCACTTTGGTCTGGCACCAGTTTACTAGTGGCACTTGGGTCTGGTAGCACTTTATTATATTCAACTCTACAGTGGTCTGAAATAATAGTAGTACCTTCATCTTTTAACTTACAGTTAGAAAATATTTCAACACTTGGTTCACTGGCAATGGAAACAGTATTGTCTTTTGCTAACTTACTGCTATTGTTGTTCTCTTGTGCTGGCTTCCTGCTAGTGTTCATCTCTTTTGCTGGCTTACTGCTAATGTTCTTGTCTTTCATTGGCTTACTGCTAGTGTTCTTGTTTTCCATTGGCTTACTGCTAGTGTTGTTCTCTTGTGCTGGCATACTGCTAGCGATCTTTTCTTTTGATGGCTTACTGCTAGTGTTCTTCTCTTTTGATGGTTTACTGCTAGTGTTCTTGTCTTTTGATGGTTTACTACTAGTGTTCTTGTCTTTTGATGGTTTACTACTAGTGTTCTTGTCTTTTGATGGTTTACTGCTAGAGTTCTTGTCTTTTGATGGTTTACTGCTAGTGTTCTTGTCTTTCATTGGCCTACTGCTAGTGTTCTTGTCTTGTTCTGGCTTACTGCTAGCATTCTTTTCTTTTGATGGCTTACTGCCAGTGTTCTTCTCTAGTGCTAGCATACTGCTAGAGCTCTTTTCCTGTGTTGGCTTAGTACTAGTATTCTTCTCTTTTACTGGCTTACTGCTAGTATTCTTCTCTTGTGCTGGCATACTGCTAGTGTTATTTTCCTGTGTTGGCTTAGTACTAATATTGTTATCTTTTACTGGCTTACTGCTAGTGTTCTTTTCCTTTGCTGACTTATTGCTAGTGTTCTTTTCTGTTGATGGCTTATCACTAGTGTTCTTTTCTGTTGATGGCTTATTGCTAGTGTTCTTTTCTTTTGTTAGCTTATTGCTAGTGTTCTTTTCTGTTGCTGGCTTATTGCTAGTGTTCTTTTCTGTTGATGGCTTACTACTAGTGTTCTTTTCTATTGACGGCTTATTGCTAGTGTTCTTTTCTGTTGATAGCTTATTGCTAGTGTTCTTTTCTGTTGATGGCTTACTGATAGTGTTCTTTTCCGTTGATGGCTTATTGCTAGTGTTCTTTTCCGTTGATGGCTTATTGCTAGTGTTCTTTTCTATTGATGGCTTACTGATAGTGTTCTTATCTTTTGATGGTTTACTGCTAGTGTTTTTGTCTTTCATTGGCTTACTGCTAGTGTTCTTCTCTTGCACTGGCTTATTGTTAGTGTTCTTTTCCTGCATTGGCTTAGTACTAGTATTCTTCTCTTTTGTTGGCTCACTGCTAGTATTTTTTTCATATGCTGGTTTACCACTAGTGTTCTTCTCATGTGCTGGTTTATTGATAGTGTTCTTATCTTTTTCTGATTTACTGCTAGTGTTCTTCTCTTTTGCTGGTTTATTGATAGTGTAGTTCTCTTTTGCTGGATTACTGCTAGCATTCTTCTCTTGTGTTGATTTACAGCTAGAGTTTTTATGTGCTGACTTATTGTTAGTGTTCTTCTCTTTTGCTGGTGTACTGCTAGTGTTCTTCTCTTTTGCTGGTGCACTGCTAGTGTTCTTCTCTAGTACTGGTGTACTGCTAGTGTTCTTCTCTAGTACTGGTGTACTGCTAGTGTTCTTCTCTAGTACTGGTGTACGGCTAGTGTTCTTCTCTAGTACTGGTGTACTGCTAGTGTTCTTCTCTTTTGCTGGTGTACTGCTAGTGTTCTTCTCTAGTGCTGGTGCACTGCTAGTGTTCTTCTCTAGTGCTGGTGTACTGCTAGTGTTCTTCTCTAGTACTGGTGTACGGCTAGTGTTCTTCTCTTTTGCTGGTGTACTGCTAGTGTTCTTCTCTTTTGCTGGTGTACGGCTAGTGTTCTTCTCTAGTGCTGGTGCACTGCTAGTGTCATTTTTTATTGGTTTATTGAAAGAACATGTTTCTTGTTCTGGTTTACTGGTAGTGATTTGTTCATTTACTAGTTTCCTGATAACACACTTTTCTTTTACTAGTTTATTTGCAGTATCATTTTGTATTAGTTCATTGGGGGTATCCTGTTCTAGTGTCACTAGTAAACTATTATTATTATTATACTGATCTTGTACCAGCTTACTAGCAATACCCTTTTCTACTGCAGGTTTCATAGTAGCACCCTCTTCTTGCACTTGTTTTCCTGAGGAACTGTGTTGTACTTGGTTACATGTATTATTTATTTTATGTACTAGTTTACTGAAGGCCCCCTCTTCTTGTGGTAGTTTACCTGAGGGAACCTCTTGTTGAGGTGGTTTATCCGAGGGAACCTCTCGTTGTGGCAGTTTATCCGAGGGAACCTCTCGTTGTGGCGGTTTATCCGAGGGAACCTCTCGTTGTGGCAGTTTATCCGAGGGAACCTCTCGTTGTGGCAGTTTATCCGAGGGAACCTCTCGTTGTGGCAGTTTATCCGAGGGAACCTCTCGTTGTGGCGGTTTATCCGAGGGAACCTCTCGTTGTGGCGGTTTATCCGAGGGAACCTCTCGTTGTGGCGGTTTATCCGAGGGAACCTCTTGTGGCAATTTATCCGAGGGAACTTCTCGTGGTGGTGGTTTATCAGAGGGAACCTTCTGTTGTGGTAGTTTACCAGAGGGAGCCTCCTGTTGTGATGGCTTACCAGAGGAAACCTCTTGCTGTGATGGTTTACCAGAGGAAGCCTCTTGTGATGGCTTTCCAGAGGAATCCTCTTGCTGTGATGGTTTACCAGAGGAAATCTCTTGTTGTAATTTACTTTCAGGATTTTTGTTAGCACAATTACTAGTTACCCCAAGTTCTTCTCTTAATGGGTGCAAAAAAGGGCCTTTATCATTGCTTTCAGTATCGACCAGATTTAAGTTTATATATTGATCCACCACTATCATATCTTCAAGGGCAACTTGTGAATCATTTTCATCTTCCACAACATGCTTTGCCTCTATTGTGCAGCTTTTGGTTTTCAAACTTTTGCTTTCAGATGAACTAACTGCATCCATCATTACTGAAGAATCAAAGTTGCAGTTTTTAACATCACTACTGTATATTTTCCCTTTGCCAATTAAATCCTCCAGTTTGTCCTGAGATACACGATGCATAGTCCTGATGTTGCAGGTATGTCTTGTGGCTGTTTTGTGTTGGTTCAAGCTGTAAATGGAACTGAATACTCTCCTACAAACCATGCAAAAATTTTTGGGCAGTTTACACTGAGAATTATGGCTTACCCAACTTTTCTTATGTAAAAAGTATACATTACACTTCTTACATAACATTATAAGATGTGTTCCATCCCTGCTAGATTTCTTTTGCATTTCGTTCATTGTTTCTTCTGCTTTACTATTGCTTTGATCAAGTGATTGGTTTTTATTCAAGCAGTTCTGTCTTTGAACTGAACTTTCCACAGCTGAGCCAGGTTTTTTAGGCATATCTGTCAAGTTTTGGTCCCTCATCTCATGATTTTTATTTGCAGTTGTTTCCGAACTTGATATAGGAAGCCTATCACACAACATGCCAGAGACTTTTGAGGAATATATTAAGGGTTCCTCAGCTTTTCCTATACTAGAATCATGATTTACAAGAGAAACTTTCAAGGCATTTTTAACTGCTAGCGAGGGTCTCTTAATATCATACATTGCCCTGTCACCATCTGAATCTGAAATTTTGGAATTATCACAGCAGAGTCCTAATGTGCCCTCTTTTTTGTTCACTATTTGTTTTTTCATGGATTTTCTATTTATTACTATTTTACATAGATCTTTAGTATTCTTCACTATGAGTCGTCCCTCTTCCCTTAGCTGCTGTAATTGTGAATATGTTACATTAACCCATTTTTTGTTATTTATATTAACATGATGATTCTTTTGATTTATGTGAAAGATCAGCTGAGAATGAGTATTAAAAACTGAAAAACATTTCATACAAGCATTACAATATTTTTTATGTTTGTTAAAGTGCACTTGATTTATAAAATATACATTACATGGGCTGCAGCACACTAAACGGTAATTCAAACTGTTATCATCAGTAATATTGTTAATAATGTCAAAATTATCATGAGTCTCAACAGCAGTGGAGCGGTCATATTTTTGCTGCTTAGAGAGAAGTCCACTGTTAACTGATGAGTCTTGTTTACTCAGATATGAAATACCACTTTTTTTACACTCGAGACTACTTGCAGCCTCTAAATTCCACTTTCTCTGGGAACTATTAAAATTAAAATCTCTGTTAACATCAGCCTCTTGACTCTGAATGCCATGATTTCCAGTGCTTACACTACCAACTGTCAGTACTGGAGGCTCACCACCTAAAAAATACAAATGCAAACTTTATAATAAGAACACTAATACATATATAAAAGGTAAATCTACATCTTTGAGCTGTGACATGTAAACTCACTTTGTCTATCATGCACTATCTCTCCCACATTTCTTTAGGATAATCGAGAGAATCGTCAAGAAGCAATTATCATCATTGCACATAAGGCTTATTAATCTGGAAATGTTAATTGACTAAATATGATTTGATTACAGAAGGATGATCGAGAAAGTTGTATGAACACAAGCTAGTATGTCCAATGATACAAACACAAGTGGTTGTAGGTGGTGAGGTGAAGGTGGAGGGAGTAGTTGTTGTGGTAAAGGGAAAGATGGTGGTGAAGGTTGTGGCAGTGGTTGAGGGTGGTAGTGGCATCAGTGGATTAAATGGTGTGGGGTGGTGGTAGAGATTGGGCATGAATGTCTGAGCACATTTCTCACAGACAACGGTCTCTTCCGACGGTGCTACAACCTGTAGAAGGGGCACCAGCTGAGCAACTTATGAAACGCCACTTTGTCCGCGGTTACGGAGTCAGTCAAAACACAGTCAAAAACAGGTGTGTCGGTTTATGGCCCATCAACGAAGGACAGGATGTGGGATGCCGGTTTGACCGACTCACCACCTGTTGGCGGCTTGGTGTATGTGTGCTAGGGTGGATGTTTCATACAGTTTTGTATGAGCTTTTTCATTTTTAGTGATTCTTTTGCAGTATCTGTTCACCATTTCAGTGCTTCATTTTCACAAACCAAGCAGTTGTCTATACTGTTTCCATCTGCTTTCCGAGTGCTTTCTGGGTGAGGGTGACCGGCTCCCTGTGCCTCATCGAGGGGGAGCCAGGTTCTGGCTCTGGTCTCTCGTAGGCATACACACCAGAGCATATAATGCTCCGGTGACTGAGCATTATCTCCTGGTTAAGTATTGGAAGCTATATCATCAACATAACTTCAGGGAGCATCTGGGGCTTACCATGAAAGGGGAGTTTCATTACATTCAACGCTGGGTTTTTTACAGCTCCTACAAACGGTTAATTCTTCTTGCTTATCGAGGGGTCATACAATCATACACGTGGGGGAGAGTAGGCATATAGTTGTCACTTGTACTGTTTTGTTATTTAGTGCCTATCCTACACTTTTGTACAGTATTTTGTTATTGCATACTATTTTATTGTATTTAGGCTGCATATCTATATACTGTATGTACATTCGTTCGACAAATCTATTTGCCTGTTCTTTTACCTAAATTACAATGTTTATAATAGTACAGTAATTTTGCTTATTTTGGAACTTATGAAGCATAGGATGGGTCTTGTCAGAGGGTGTGTGCCTCCCATGCTGTGATCAGGCAAGTGGTAGTGGTGCACGGGTGCATCACAGTTAGAGGGGATTACCTGTAGCAATGATCATTTGTCTAGTTATCTCTGGTTATCTAATTTCCATCAAGCAGATGCTTCTTTTGTCGCACATATGTTTTCTGGCGGCTTATGTTCAATTTTGGGTTGATCACTGATCCCCAAGCTCCTCTCACCATGTAGAGAGCCAGATTTTGGTCGTGGTTTTGGTGACAATGGTAGGTCTCAGAGGCCTAATGAATCTTCTAAAGCTGTGCCACTATTTAGTTTGGAAAGCTACTAAATCAAGCTACTACCAAGAGGGTCCTCCCAAAAAGATACATAAATGAAAACACTATCTTTGAACATCTTACGACAATTCCTTGATAACAATTGTCCAAGAAGTTGACCCTGAACCAACAAGGAAAACACCCAATAATTTAATTTAATACTTACAACTATCTGTCCGCAGCTTTACATCTGTCAGAGGTGGCTTATTCTCATTCTTCTGAAAGTTACACAGAAAAATAAAGATTAATATTACGTAGCCCTTATACCTTTCCATTGCTCGAGTCATACGGGAGATGATTGCGGAATATCTGACCACACCGCATAAGTCATACAGGGATGATTTAAAAGTCTCACGCATACATGGGGCTCACATTTGCTTCCTCAGGCCTCCAGTAAACAAATGCCATCTTAGAAGAAACTTGGGGGCACCCCTCCTGGGTGTGTGAGGGCCTCAGTTTTGAGAGAACGACCACAGGTAACACATGCTGCATCAGCTCACAGCATCACGTGCAGCTTGTGCCCATAGCATCACTTAATTATGAATAAATAAGTAATTATGTTTATTTAATGATAGTTATCATAGAAAAGCCTGACTAATAAAAACTATACACAGTACAAGATTCACATATGAATAACCCCAATAGTGGTTATGATGTTCACAGCACAAGACAGACATCCAAAGCACACAGCTGTGGTTTGCTGCACCTACGCATCACAAAATGGGACCTTATGTTTCTTTAGAAAATAAACTTATGGAAAATGATTCATATTCAGGAAATGGTAACAAGAATTTTGATAATAGCACTATTGTTGCTGAGTTAGCAATTTACTTAGTACTGTATATTGGGAGGCATTTTGATGTGTCAGGTGCCATTGGCAACTCACTAGCATGTGGTGCTCTGCTGTCTTTAGGTTACAAAATTACCACACCCACCAAAGTGTGTGGTGTGGTAGTAGGTATACTACCTATTATAGGTAATAGGTGTAGGTAAGTTTACATGAAGAAACATATGGTCAACTTGGACATCGAAACCAATGACCAAAACACTTTGCATATTAGTGGTTTTAGGCACTGTACTGATGTTAGTTGAATCCTCCACTGCTTATGTATCATTTTTATGTAAGTATTCTTTCCTAAATGAACATTATTATTATTATTATTATTATTATTATTGTGTCTGGTAAATTATTTCCTAAACTTGTAATTATTTTAAAACATTTCTCTTTAAAACTTGTGAGTGTACTAATCTCGCTGGTTGAAATGCTTACATATTAAAAATAGATTGAATTAACCACTGTGCTGCTCGCCTTCCAAATACGGCACCCCCTCCCCCCCCCCCCCACCCCCGTGCACAAGAAATAAATTATCAGGATTTTTTTTTTTTTTTTTGGGGGGGGGGGGGGGTTTGAAAATGTTAAATACCCTTCCATGATCACATATGTAAAAAAAGGAAAAAAAAAAGAAAAGTTGTAATTACTTTGGCCGCAATGGGGTCCAGAAAATGGCGTGTGATGTTACGATTTAGTAGTCGCCCGTGACATAGACTTCCAAAGCCAGTCGCCCGCTAGCTTCAACATGCGCGAGTTGCCACAAATTTTTTTTTTTTCATTTTTTTGTGAACATTTCCAAATACATTTGTTTCGTTTTTTCTTGCCAATCCTATGTATAATGAACATGTACACAATATTATGGCAGTAGAGCATCCATACTGTCCCAAGACATTGTGTTGTGTGTCTCAAATGTGTCCACATATATTGCTCATATATCCAATGTTTCATGTTCATTTATGTATATTTACAACATATTTACACACTATACACTATCACACACTATATACTTTCACCATCAACACACTCAGAACTCCACGAGTGCTTACTCTTTACACCTTATTCGGCAACATTCCTCCTCCCACCATACTGTTATTGTTGTATTACACTATTTACACACGTTATGAATAAGTATGTACATGTTTTATTACCTTAACTATGCAAGTAAGCTGGTATTGTGTCCAAACAGTACAGTGGCCACCATACATTGCATGAGAAATCACACAGCAGCCAGCAGATGACGCTAAGATTATGACGCCACCTCCCTCACCAAAATGGCTTCTTCCACAATACTATGTACATATATTCATGGGTATATATACACATTGCATATACTCATGTACATAAATGTTCACCATAGCAAACCACTAAATTAGTGTGGTGAACAATACGCGAGTGGCTGCCACACGTAGGGGCCTCGGGCCCTCGTAGCCTGGTGGATAGCGCGCAGGACTCGTAATTCTGTGGCGCGGGTTCGATTCCCGCACGAGGCAGAAACAAATGGGCAAAGTTTCTTTCACCCTAAGTGCCCCTGTTACCTAGCAGTAAATAGGTACCTGGGAGTTAGTCAGCTGTCACGGGCTGCTTCCTGGGGTGTGTGTGTGTGTGTGTGTGGTGTGTGTGAAAAAAAAAAAAAAAAAGTAGTTAGTAAACAGTTGATTGACAGTTGAGAGGCGGGCCGAAAGAGCAAAGCTCAACCCCCGCAAAAACACAACTAGTAAACACACAGTGAGGCTACCTCAATTCTTTCCCTCCCACCCTCCCTCCCTTGCCAAACCACCTCCCACAATACTGCGCACAGCGTTAATTATCATCAAAATCCTGTAAATGAATAATTGAACACACGTATATTTTGTAAAGTAACATACAAAGTCGTTCAAAGATTCCTAGATGGACAAAATAATGCTGTGGTGCAGTAACTAAGCGTTGTGAACATCGTGATCAAAATTGATTCACTGATATTTGAACATTGTACAGTCATTATCACACACACCAAGGCTCTTCTGTAATATTATCATGGCTAAATAATACCAGAGAGATATATTCCAAAGCCAAATAGATTGAATTAACCACTGTGCTGCTCGCCTTCCAAATACGGCGAACTTAATACATACAGGAACTTCTTTTCCACAGCTCATAAAATGGAGGAAAGGGTCCTGAAAGATATTGTTAATAGGAATGTTATCCCTACAGACAAAAATCAGAAGATACAACTGACGATTTACTATAAAACCCAAAAAACAGCCAGCCTACTCATGAGAAACTCTCCAGACACAAAGTAGAACGCTTTAAAAGAGACCGTCATCTATGCCTTCAAATGCCCACTTGGGGACTGTAAGCCTCAAAGAACTCAGTATATAGGCAAGACAACAACATCTCTTTCCTGGCAATTAACAATGCATAAGCAACAGGGCTCCATTAAGGAACATATAATCTCTTCCCACAACCAGACCATCACCAGAGAAATTTTAGCAAACAACACAGAAATCATCGATAGATACAGCGATAGCAGGCGGCTTGACATCTGCGAGGCAATACACATCAAGAAGTCAACACCAGCAATCAACAGCCAATTAATGCACAACTATATTCGACTCTGCTCCAATATAGAAGCATCAAGAAATATGGGCCAATAGGCCCTCTGCAGTTACTTCCATTCTTACCTTCAATTTACCAAATTAATACCCATTGTTTCGTGTTCTGTCCTGTGTTGAAAGTTTTGTTCACCTCATCCAAAACTGTTGTAACATATCACGTCACCCAAAATGTGGGTATAAAATAAAATGAAAGCTGTTTAAATCATAGCATAGTAAGAACTCTGTTTAGTGTTTGCAGGTTATAGTTGTGTGTGTGTAAACTAAAAGTCTCTGAAAATGTAATAAGTTATTACGAAACGCGTTCAAGTGTCGCGTCAGACTAGAAATAAAAATGAATTTTGGAGAATTGATTTTTCAATTACCATCAACAGTGAAAAGAAACACAAGAAATATTGAGAAAATTCGTGTTAGAATTATTAATCTTACTGTTTCGGTCATATTTAATAATATGTCTACAGGAAAGACTGCTACCAAAATATACTAATATATATATTATATTATATATATATATATATATATATATATATATATATATATATATATATATATATATATATATATATATATATATATATATATATATATATGTCGTACCTAGTAGCCAGAACTCACTTCTCAGCCTACTATTCAAGGCCCGATTTGCCTAATAAGCCAAGTTTTCCTGAATTAATATATTTACTATAATTTTTTTCTTATGAAATGATAAAGCAACCCTTTTCTCTATGTATGAGGTCAATTTTTTTTATTGGAGTTAAAATTAACGTAGATATATGACCGAACCTAACCAACCCTACCTAACCTAACCTAACCTATATTTATAGGTAAGGTTAGGTTAGGTAGCCAAAAAAGCTAGGTTAGGTTAGGTTAGGTAGGTTAGGTAGACGAAAAAACATTAATTCATGAAAACTTGGCTTATTAGGCAAATCGGGCCTTGAATAGTAGGCTGAGAAGTGCGTTCTGGCTATTAGGTACGATATATATATATATATATATATATATATATATATATATATATATATATATATATATATATATATATATATATATATATATATATATATATATATATATATATATATATATATATATATATATGTCGTACCTAGTAGCCAGAACGCACTTTTTGGACTACTATGCAAGGCCCGATTTGCCTAATAAGCCAAGTTTTCCTGAATTAATATGTTTTCTTTAATTTTTTTCTTATGAAATGATAAAGCTCCCCATTTCATTATGTATGAGGGAAATTTTTTTTATTGGAGTTAAAATTAACGTAGATATATGACCGAACCTAACCAACCCTACCTAACCTAACCTAACCTATCTTTATAGGTTAGGTTAGGTTAGGTAGCCGAAAACGTTAGGTTAGGTTAGGTTAGGTAGTCGAAAAAACATTAATTCATGAAAACTAGGCTTATTAGGCAAATCGGGCCTTGCATAGTAGGCTGAGAAGTGCGTTCTGGCTACTAGGTACGACATATATATATATATATATATATATATATATATATATATATATATATATATATATATATATATAGGTTAGTTTATAGGTTAGGTTAGGTTGCCGAAAAAGTTAGGTTAGGTTAGGTAGGTTAGGTTGTCGAAAAACAATTAATTCATGAAAACTTGGCTTATTAGACAAATCGGGCCTTGCATAGTAGGCATAGAAGGACGTTCTGGCTACTAGGTACGACATATATATATATAATAGCTATATATATATATACATACATACATATATATACATACAATGGGGCCTTGACTTACGATGCTAATCCGTTCCCAGAGACGG